CCAGTAAGGATAAATTCAACAAGGAGGTAGTATGAAATGTCCCAGTAGTGCTAAAGGACAACCCATTTCTTACCTAGAGAAACTTGGGAGCTTCTCATAAAAAGATACAAGGGAGCTGAAACTGGTTTGGCTCAATGGATAGAGCGTCGGCTTAGGGACTGAAGGGACCCGGGTTCGATTCCAGTCAAGGGCATGTACCTTGGTTGCGGGCATATCCCCAGTGGGGGATGTGCAGGAGGCAGCTGATCGATGGCTCTCTCTCATCGATGTTTCTAGCTCTCTATCTCTCTCCCTTCCTCTCTGTACAAAATCAATAAAATATATTTTTTTAAAAACCTTAAAAAAAAAAAAGATACAAGGGAGAACCATCATCTTCTTTTAGGATAACGAAGGGACAGTCATATAACATACACAGGCAGAGACCATGAACAAGAAGGCAGAGGTCTCAAATTCCTCATGTTAGCAGAGATGCCACTGTTCTCCCAAACAAAATGATTCACCTTAATGTGTGTGTGTGTGTGTGTTTTTTTTTCCTGCTCATAAAAAAGTTTTGGCCATCTAGCTGGGCATTTTCTAAGATACCCACTGCACAACTGGGGTGTGTGTGAAGAAGGTGCGGGATAACCCAGAGTACAGCTCTTTGCTTGTCTGAATTTGATAGAAGCAAGACAAGAAGAACTGTGAAAGGAGCACAATAAATAACAGAGTATCATCGCAGAAGGGAAACTGAAAAGAAAGAGATCAGAGTTTGGTAGGAACATAAACAAAACTGCCTTTGGTGGCACATTCCCCAAAGCAGAGCAAGATTAGCCTCATCTGCTGTCTCTTTATCTCTGACCTTTCTGGATGAAATATAAGTGAGGTTATGTGTGGGAAGATTTACACTTTTTTCACTTATGTACAGCTTGAATATTTAAAAATATGTACATATTACTTTTCACATTAAGAAGAAACGTAGTTGTAAAATACATTGGTAAAAAAGGAGGAAGTATAAGGGAAAACCCAACAAGACCCAATCTATGGGAGGTTAAGGTCAGAAGACCATTAAAAATATATGAGAGGTGGGGACCCCTGTGCCTTAGTAATACATCTTCCTTTTCTCTACTCACCCCTTTCCCCAAGTGCCTTACTATTTGCTATTTCTTTTCTTTCTTTTTCTTTTTTTAAAATATTTTTAATGATTTCAGAGAGGAAGGAGAGGGAGAGATAGAAACATCAATGATGAGAATCACTGATCGGCTGCCTCCTGCACGCCCCCTACTGGGCATTCCATAGGCAACCCGGGCATGTGCTCTTGACTGTATCGAACCTGGGACCCTTCAATCCGCGGGTTAACGCTCTATCCACCGCGCCAAACCAGCTAGGGCTGTTTGCTATGTCTAACCTGGGCTCCTGAAGAAGTAAACAAAGAACAGGGGTGATGCCAATCTTGGGGAATAGAATTTCTCTTCCCCAAATCCCTTCCTCAAGTGGTATCACTTCATATTTCCAGGGTTGGTTCCACCTCATCATTACCTGCCTGGGAAACAACCACATCTAAGTCCTACAAAGTTTCACTAACTGTGGCTGGAAGATCTGGCGGCTGGGGAGACCCTCAGAACCTATCTAGGACAGATGGGATTGCTCATTTCCCACTTCCCAGTTAGAGCGATGGAATCCACCACAGACCACATTATTGAGAGGGAAAACAAACAAACATCTCCCAAGCCCAACTTCTTAGCTCTTGCACAAGGACTGCACCCCAAACCATCTGAGGCTGGAAGGAAGAAACAGAGAGTGCACTCTCCAGCTGAAGCCAAGGGAACGTGTAGGGTCTGAGTTTGGAACAGCCAACAGTCACAGGAAAAGAAAAAGAAAAAAAAAGTCACGTTTGTTTTCATTGGCTACCCTGGGAGTACCCAAAACTTCAAGCGACATCTCAGCACTCCGTGGGGACAAAAGAGTGGGTCCTCCCAAGCCCCGGAGCCTCCAGCCCACCGTGGAGCAGTCCCAGGAGCTCCACGGTGACACCAGGCCCTGCCTCCATTTCCCCAACCACCTTCGCCTTCTAGACTAGGAAAGCTTGCTTCGCTCGCCTCGCTGAACCCAAATCCTCCTCTCAGCGCAACTCTGGGGCGCCCTCGTTATTTTTATAATAGTCACTTTCCCCGGAAAAGAATGCTTCTTACCCAGCTAAGAACGCTTCTGGGGCCCTGCCCAAAAGACATCTCCAGAGCGCCAGCCCCGGCTGCGCTCGGGGCCGGGCGTTGAGGCTGACCCCTCCTCACCTCCCCGCCGATGGGCTTACCTCACCGGCTGCCCGGCCTTTCCTCCAGCTCCTCCCTCTCCGCGCTGCTCAACGAGGCCTGCCCTGCCCTCACACAGACCCGGGCCTCGCGTGCCCACTCCCGGCCCCGCCGCCGGCAGCGCCCAGCCTCGCCAACTTGGGGCTCCCGGCCCGCCTAGCCCCCTCCCCAGCGCCCCCCTAAGGCCTGCCGGGGCCCGGCCCCCTTCTCCCCTCTCCAGTGGGCCGCTCCGACCCCATCGCGGAGGCCCAGACCCGCCTCCGCGCTCAGGCCAGGCTGCGCTCCTCTCCCGGGCGCCTCCGCCCCTACCCTGCAGGGCTCCATCAGCCCGGTACCTGGGGCTCCGTCTCCCCCGTCGGGCCCAAGCCTGTGTCGAACAGACAAACAGCCGCAGCTCAACCAAACCCTCCGGCCCCTCCTCCTCCTCCTCGCCCTGGGGCGGGGGGCCCCGGCCAATGGCGCGATTACGCCTACCATCGAGGGTGGGCTCTGCGCGCGCCGCTCCGCCAATCCCCCGGAGAAAGGCGGGCCTGCGTCGGCGCTGTCACCAACGAGGACGGGCCTGGGCCCGGACAGGCGTGTCCCCGGGCCAATAGGAAGAGGGAAACCTTCAATATGGACAAGGTGAGGAGCCATTGACGAGGGAGCTCCCCGAGACAGGAGGCGGTACACTGTTGACAGGCGTATACGCCAACCAATAAACTCTTGACACCCTCATGACCCCGCCTTTTGGCTCATAAACATCTAATCAGGTGAGCGACGGAGGCGGGCCTAAGGGAAACTTTAGCCAGTCCTGCGGAAGTTCGGAACTTGAATGGCAGGCAAGGCGGGGTGGAAGGAAGCCCCTGACCTTCGCCCCTCCCCCCGGGTTTGGCAGGGACTGACTAGCTCCCCTCCCGCTAGGGCCGGTTTGCGGGCGTGAAGGGAAATACCTCTCCTGGGAGCCCGAGCCTGGGAATTTAAGTAGCCTTTAAGTCAGGGCTTCCTCCTTTTAGGGGGGGCTCAGAGTACAGGAAGTTTTAGGGGGGCGGTCTGAGATGGTTTTTGAGGAGGTGAGACAATGGTAGCCCCACGAACCGGTAGTTTGGGGAGACTTTAGCCCCTTCATAATTTTCATCCAGACAACTGACAGTATTATGAATCGTATTACAAAGGTGAATAAAGTGTATTTAGAAAACTTTGGTGTTTGTGATATGCAGCAAAAAGGAGAAATGACGAGCTTACTGGGAAATGCGGTGCGAAGGTGAATTCCACGGAGCCCACTTCCAATCATATCACTACTCTCAAGCTCTTCCTAACACTGCAATTCCAGAACTCAGTATATGAGTCTGTGGTTCGAGGTGTGCTGGGGGAGAGGGGTAAGGATGGGGAGGGAAGCCGAAGGGGAAGATGCAGGTTTGTGGGGGAAATATGAAGGCTTCGGTTTCTCCAGCTGTAAAATAGGGCAATAATTCCCACTTTGACTACCCTCAGCCTATCCCAGTTTCATCACAGAAGTGAAGATGGGGTGGGGTGAGTAGTCCTGCACAGAGAGATTAGGAAAAGTGGAGGGTCTGAACCAATTATCATATATACACATTCACATTCTCTCACACCGTTCTTTCAATAAATACACCGAAGTAAAGGAGGGAAGATGAACTATAACACTAGAAACTTTTTTTTTAATGAATTACAAATAATGTTAATAGCAAGAACACTCAAGAACAAGAGGTCAGAGAAAAGAAAAACAATACTCTTTTTTTTTAAACATTTGCATTACAAAACCCCAAGGTGCACGTGGCAACAAATTCCCCCACTCCCTCTAAAAAACTACTATAACCTGAAATATAAATATAATTATTCATCCTTCTTTTAAAGAAATATTTTATCTCCGTGCTCCCACTCAGTCACAGCCCTAAAAAAAGTGTCAGTATTCTCAAAATGAGGTCTAATCTTTACTTCCACTCCTATAGGGGTAGCCTTCAGGGGAAGCTGTGCCCTGCCACCTGAAGAACTAAGAATTTTAAAAGAGAAAAACTCCAATATCTTTCACTTGCCTCATAAGGCCGCGGTGAAGCATAATCCCTGTCCCGGAGCCTCCCAGACATCCCCTGCCTATAGGAGGGACAGGAGGGACGGACAGGGCACTGGGGGCAATCATTTCTACTGTAGCCCCAACAGGATGGCAGAGGCTGGGAGTCCTGGGACTCTCAGACTGTTAGGTGAGACCAAACAGCGAAACTACAGTATAAACTGGTTGGATCTATTGTTTAACTTCATTTTTCAAAACAGGCCCCTCTCTCTGTTTTTGTTTTGCTTGTTTTCAAAATTCCAATTTGCCCCTGTCATCAATGGGCCTAACAAACACAGGCGGTTTGGGGCCTCTGTCATCTCAAACACAGGAAACAATAACTGTGGGGCTTTCAGAGGCTGGAATGGCAAATCCTATGTGGGGGGAGAGGAAAGAGTCAGTCTTTGTTTTTTTTTAAACACCAGCTCTCCTTAGCAATGACTAAGGAGGGTTGGTAGAGACTGACTTAAGTGCATCTAATACTGAAGTTTCCTTTCCTTTTCCCTCTCCAACCCCTTGTGTCCCTAGAGTTGGCTGGCTAAGAAAGGAAGGTGAGTGAGTGTTAAGGCAGCCAGACAAGGTAGAGGGCACCCACAGCCCAAGGCCAAGCCAGATCAGGCCCCTCACTGGAGGGGAGGGTGAGACTGGGGGCTTGCAGAAGAACATCAGAGTCGAAGATGGGGTACTGGCTTGGTCACATCCTGGAAGAAAGGGTGTGTCAGAGCTGCCTTTGCTGAAATCCGTTTGTTGGGGTCATAGTGCAGCATTTGCTGGAGGGAAAGATGTACATTGACTTCAGTGATGTGAGAGCGGGCTTAACAGACAGCAAGTATTCCAACAATTCAGGAAACCAGAACCATTTTACCCAAGGCAGAGTTCCCATTTCCCTCCTCCCTGTATCTGCCCGTTCAATTGGTATGCCAACAGGGAGACCCGAAGCAGGAGCTGGGGAAACACGAAAACTGGATCCAGGGTCTGACCCTTCCTTCCTCCAGGAAAAACCCTGCCCTGTGGTAGTCAATGAGGAAAGGGAGCCCACCCCCGGCTCTCACCGATAATAAGCTCCGTCCATCTTCATCCAGGGGAGGCACGACTTTACTAAAATCTTGCCGGGCCCACTTGGGGAAACTTGGCTTATAATCAGGCATAGAAGTAACTCCTGGCCAAACCACCTCATCCGGGGTGCCCAGAGTCCGAAAGATCCGGAAGAGTTGGTCAATCTCAGAATCTCCAGGGAACAGGGCCCGGCGAGTCACCTGAACGTGAGGAAAGAGGAAAAGCCAAGGCCCACCCTGGCATCAGTCAAACTGCCCCTTGTGTGCCGGAGGTTCCCGCAGGCAGTGGAAGGTCAGAAGGGCCCCATGACTCCCTCCCCGGGGCCTTTCATGGGGTCAGTCACACAGAGCCTGAGACAATAAAGTCCCTTCATCTGTCTCCTCGCCCCCTCCTCCCTTCCCCCAACCATGGTTTTGCAGATCCCCAAGGCTGGGTGGGTGCGGGAGGGGGTGAATGTCTGGGGTGCCACTGACGTGTAGCAAAGGGATCCCAAGCCACTCACGGGGTGTGGGGTAGACACCCCTCCTTGTGATGCAGCCACTTCTAGATAGGAGCACAGCGTGCAGAGACTGTGTCTTCCATTTCTTCTGTGTTCCCCACAGCACTTAGCATGGTGCTGGGTACACACTAGGTGCTTAACAAATATTTTTTGATGAATTGAGAGAGGAATATGGGCAATCGTAAAGTAATGCACTGGGGGATAAATGCACATTACAACCCAGATGAAGGACCATAAAACAAATTGCTGATTTGATTTTAAAACTCAGCTCATGCCATGACTGTATTAAATGGGACGACAGTTCACATATGAAGGCTGGGCCTCAGGGATCCTTTGGTCTAAAAAGCCAGAGGTTGGGTGGGGACATGAACTAAGTTTGCAGTTTAAGTAAAAAATGTGGCTCAACTGAACACAGGTGGCTTCACCGCATTCCTCACACCGTACAGTAAGGTCTCCAGGCCAAATGAAGGAAGCACTCAGTGGAGCTCCTTCTACCAAATATATGCAGACCAAAGCTAAAGCAGCTACAGAAATTACTTAGCTCAACTTGGGGATCAGAGATGTACGAGGATGCGAAAGCTATTTGAGGATATCCTAGCATTGTGGTTGACATCAGGGACAACGGTCCTATCCTTTCCCCGCCACCCTTGCAGTGCTACTCCAGAGAAAGAACCCTGTGATAACAGAAGGGCCATGGATCTGGGCCAAGAAACAGTTCTGTTGTTGAATGTGGGGAGGAGAGGGCAGGGTGGAACTCGGGCATGGATCTGTACCATCTCAGCGAAGATGCAGCCAAGGCTCCAGATGTCCACAGCTGTGGAGTAGTATTTGCAGCCCAGAAGGATTTCCGGTGCTCGGTACCACAGGGTCACCACCTGAGGACAAACGCAGGAAGGGGAGGGTTGGTATATGGGGCATGGAGATGCCATCTCAGTTCCCCGGCCCTACTCTGCTAACTCCCAGCCTCTTAACAAGCAGCTTCGTTCCCTCCACCCTTCCCTTGCCTCTGGTTTTCCCTCAGCAAAATGACTACATACATCTTAGCCCAGAACGGGCCTCGCCATGACTCTGGGACCGTATTTTCTGAACCCCCAATTTGTGGCCCTCATGGAAAACTTGAGAGAAGTGGTCATAATTTTAACGGTGTGCCATGCAGTTCACTTGGCTTGGTATCTATCAACGCCCAGTTCGCCCTGCAGTATGCACTCTGGGAGAACCTCTTGAATCGTCAAAAATACTCTCCCTCTAGTGCGGGGATAGGGAATGTCCAGCTGTGGGCCTTATAAGGCCCAAGAAATCATTTGGTCTGGCCCTGCCAAGGCATTGGGGTGAGTTAATTAAATGTTTGATTAGCAGACTGGTTTGTTGCTGTTGTTAATAGTCACCTGAGGATATTTTTCCATTGGTTTTTAGAGAGAGTAGAAGGGGAGAGACAGAAAGAAACATCCATGTGAGAGAAAGACACAATTGGTTGCCTCCTGCACACACCCCAACCAGGACCCGGGATGGAGCCTGCAACCAAGGTACGTGCCCTTGACTGGAATTGAAGCCAGTTCCCTCAGTCTGAGGGCCACTGCTCTATCCACTGAGCCAAACCGGCTAGGGCTAGGAGACTAATTTTTTAAGTTGATAATTTTGCATAGCCTTCGATTGATGTTATAAATATCCAATGGCCCTTGCCAGAAAAATGGTCCCTTACCCCTGCTCTAGTGAGAGAGAAACTGCTGTCTAAATATTTTTAGTTACTTTCTGAATGTCCTTGTTAACACCTCCCAGGAAGTTCAGAGAAGAAATGTGGAGAGGGACTGACCTCATGGGTGTAAGTACGAACAGGGACTCCAAAGGCTCTGGCTAGTCCGAAGTCTGCTAGTTTGATGGACCCCTCTGTGTTGATAAGCAGATTCTGAGGTTTGAGGTCTCGGTGCAGGACTCGGTGAGAATGGCAGAAAGCAAGGCCCTGGAGCAGCTGGAACAGATAGCTCTGACAATGGAGAGAGATAGAATTATGTTTCTTTACTACCTCCAAAGCTCTACTAAAACCTTTACTATATTAGATTATAAGTGTGTGTTGAATAAACACCTGTTGATAGATTGAAATTAGTTCGGGGAGTAAACAACCCAGCTATAATACAGAAACTAGAGACTCACTGGCTATTTCTCCCACCAAACAGGTAAAAGGACTTTTTTTTGGAGGAATGTACCAAGTGCCCTCAAGTCCCATTTATCTGTGTTTCATCTGACTTTCTACCTGGAGCTGTTATGTTGACTCACTAGAGTTTCAACTTTGATTCTCCTGCCCAGCCCCAGGGTTAATAAGCATAGTGAACAGTGAAAGAGCCACAAAAGAAAGGTGTGTGTGTGTGTGTGTGTGTGTGTGTGTGTGTGTGTGTGTAGGGAGATGAGGGCTGGGAAACCAATATCACAATTCTTCATTCGGTCTGATTTTCTGGCCTTCAGTCCTCACAGGACATGACCTTGTTGGGGAGGAGCTGATGAGAAGGATTACCTTGATGAGGGGAAGAGGAATGCCAGTAAGAGCAGAGGCATCCATGAATTTCTTGAGATCTTGGTGCAGGAACTCAAACACCAGGTAGAGTTTGTTTTCTGTATGGATGACATCCAGCAGCCTAGGGAAGAGAGGTCCAGGAATGGAGGTGAGAGCGAGACCGCCCGATGACACATGACACAGACGGTAGACATCCTCCTTCCTGTCAAAGCACCTCCCATTTGCATACTTACTTGACAATATTTGGGTGGTTAAGCTCCTTAAGCAGAGAGATCTCGCGAATAGCAGTACTGGGTACACCCTCTGTCTCACTTGGAGAGATTGGGAAACAGAGATGGGAATGTGGTTACAAATATCCCTTTTCTCCCAGCCCAGGCATTCTTTTCCCTTAAGGAGACGCCACCCCAGCATCCCCTAGTAAAGTGAGGGAAGAGAAAGTGTGCTGTCGTTCATTCATTCATCCGGGACAGAGAGTGGCTTTTGGACACATGGAGGCCATTATTTCTCCCCCCCCCCCCCCCACAGGTAGGTGAGGAAAGCCTCCTGGTAAAGAGGGAGAGAAGGTAACAGGGAAAAAAGGGAGTGGCAGCACCCAGCCTCCCTAGAGGGGCCAGTGAGGTTCAACGGCCATTCTTTTGAAACAGGGAGAGAGTTCTAAGAGGGGGGTGGGGCTGGGGCAGCGAGGGGGGCTCTTTTTGTTCAGAAAAGTGCTCTTCACCGGTTCCCCCAAAGCCCACCTCCACGGAGGGTCCTGGACCCCCACCTCAGAGGCCTCCTTTCCCTTCCTGTGCCTCCCGGACTGCCCATTTGGGGGAGTTCCCCGAGGCTCCGGGGAGCAAGTTTCCCACGGATTCGACCCGACCCCGTAATCTCGGGAGGGAAACCCTCCACCGTCCTCCAACTCCCTTCTCCCCTTCGAAAGAAGTCCCTCCCAGCTACCTTCCGGTCCCTGGACGGCTACCCGCCCGCGGGGTGGGGGCGGGGGTGGGGGCCCTGCCGGGGTGGCAGTCCCAGGACGGAGGCCACTCACGTGTCCAGGCGGATTTTTTTGAGCGCCACCACCTCCCCCGTCAGCTTGTTTTTGGCTTTGTACACCACTCCGTACGTGCCCTCCCCGATCTTCTCCACTTTTTGGAAGTTCTCCATGGAGCGCTCAGCGAGTCAGGGTCAGCCGGGCCCCGGGGCGGGGGCCTGGGAACCCTGGAGAAAGCGGGCCCCGGCTCTCCGGGGCGGAGGAGGGGAAGCGGGGCGCGGCTCCGCGGCTCCAGGTCCGGATGGAACGCAGGGCTATCGCTCGCTCTTGTCAATTTGTCCAACTTGAAACAATGTTGCCGCCTCCCTCCGGGTCCCCACCGCCGCCGGAGGCCCCGCCTCTCCTTCCCGCGTTTCCATGGCTCCGCCCCCGGCCCTTCCTATTGGCCGACGTCAGCGCGGAGGGGCGAATCCCGCGCCCTCGCCGCTAAGGAGCCGCCCGGCGCAAGTTTGGTTCCGAAGAGGCTTTAGGGCCGGTTTCTGCCTCGGTGGGGAGGCCGCGCACGTCCTTCCAAGTACTAACCTGACTTGGGCTCCAGTTGCCTCCACGTGTCCTGGCTTTGCAGGGATTTCCTGATCTCTTGGGGAAAATACACGTCGATCTAAGATTAAATGCTACCTGGCCGAAACCGGTTTGGCTCAGTGGATAGAGCGTCGGGCCTGCGGACTGAAAGGTCCCAGGTTCGACTCCGGTCAAGGGCATGTATCTTGGTTGCGGGCACATCCCTGGTAGGGGGTGTGCAGGAGGCAGCTGATCGATGATTCTCTCTCATCGATGTTTTTAACTCTCATTCCCTCTCTCTTCCTCTCTGTGAAAAATCAATAAAATATATTAAAAAAAAAAAAAAAAGATTAAATGCCACTTGTCCCTGGGGCCTCCTTTGAAAAGCAGGAAGCTGGGGTGTGCTCTCTTGAATAATAAATTTAATTAAGTAAATAAAGAAAAGCAGGAAGCTGGGGATACTGTCTCTCTCTCTCTCTCTCTCTCTCAATCTGTTTTTGGATGTAGGATCTCTGTTTCAATCTTTTTGAGGCCCCTGGTTTGACTCAAACAACAAATTGATTTAATCTCCCATGGTGAATTGTGCATGCGGAGTACCTGTTACGTAGCTGCCCTTCGGCCAATTCTTTCTCAGTCCAGATGAGAATGAACTTGTGTCTAGAGAACAGGATCCCTGTCAGTTCTCCAGTTCTCTAGCAGCCCCTCCCAGACCTCCCCTGGAGGGAGAGGAGGAAGGACTATGCAAATGAGTACCCCTTTCTTATATAGGGGCTTGTCCCAGCCCCTCAGTGCCTTTGGTTGCTGGAAGAAAGACAGGATGGTTCCTTTAAAATGCCTTCTCCGTGTAGCTGTGCTGGGTGCTCTTCTGGCCGTGGGGGCCACAGAAGGTTAGTGTGGGGCGCGTGGATATGAATAAGTGCATTTGGGTTGCACACCTGCTCTGTCTGCTTTCCTCCCTCCTAATGGGAGATACCGGCAACACTTCAGGCTTCTCTCATTCATTTGATTTAGTAAGGATGTGTGTACTTGAAGTCTGAATCTGGGACTGAGTCTGAGAGTAATTCCATCCGCTTGGAAGGGCAAGAAGAAAATGGTGGGTCTTCATGGCCATAATTCTGAGACGCCCCTGGGGCAGGGGCTCCAGGGGGGTGGGGAGAAATGAGTGGCTCTTTTAGGTGATGTCTCAGGCACTTGGGAAAAGGTACTTAAAGTGAGGAGTAGGAAAGAGAATGTGGCATTGGATAAAAAGGGTAAGGAGGCACCATCAAACCTCTGTAGGGTGGGGATGGGTGAACACAGGCCAGGCTTTTGTCCTGTGCATGGAAAAGGCAGGCAGAGGGGTCTCAGCTGAGCATCACATGAAAGGGCTCTGGAGGATTGGGGCCTCGTGACAGGAGCAAGAGGTGGGGGTGAGGAGTGGTGAGAGGATCTGGAATGTCCCGAGGGGCTCTGAGGAGGGAGGGTTGGGAGTGGGAAAAGAATGGGGCATCTTATGATTCTCTTGCTCTAGTAGTAAGATACTCAGTGAAGATTCCAGATCCTCTCCCAGCCGAATCAACTAGATTTCCAGTTCAAAGTTCAAATGGAGTGAGGCTAGTTTCTGCTAAGCTGAAATACATGCATCATATCTCAGTTTCCTCTTTTTTTTTTCTTTTAATGTCTTTTTATTGATTTTTGAGAGAAAGTGAGTGGGATAAAGAGAAGGAAACATTGATGTCAATTGGCTGCCTCCTGCACGCTTCCTTCTGAGGACTAAGCCCGAAACCCAGGCATGTGCCCTGACTGGGAATCAAACCAGTGACCTCTTGGTTCATGGGTTGATGCTCAACCACTGAGCCACACCAGCTGTGCTCTCAATTTCTTCTTTCTCACAAACTTCAAGAAAATTCTTCTTGATTTGACTTTCCTCATTCATGGTGCTGTTTTAAGTCTTTTTTTCTTACCATGTTCCTTAATGTAAGGCTGGAAACATTCTATTCATTCTTGTCCATCTGAGGCTCTTAAAAGACTGTGCTTACTTTTTGATGCTGACTTTTTTTTTTTTATGTCATAAGCCATTTTTAGATATTAATGAAATTTTTATGGTTTGATAATTTTGTCTAGTGTGAAGTGATGCTTATTCAATAAAATATTCATTTTAACAAACAAATGCATACTGAGTTTGTAGGGTTAAAATAACAAGATGCCTGGGATTAGCTTTTAAAGACTTTAACTAAAAACAAATAGGAGACTTGACTTGGGGTGCTGAACACACAATATAATATACAGATAATGGATTATAGGATTGTATATCTGAAACCTATATAATTTTATTAACCAACGTCACCCCAATAAATTCAATAAAAAAATAAAGCAACATAAACAAACAACAATAACAACATAAAGAAAAAACAAATGTGGCAAATGTGATAGTTGTTGGATCTGGATGAGGCATATAGAGATCCATCATCTCTTTTTCTCAGTCAGTTGCACTAAATTTGTCTGCTGTTCCCAACCCCAACCTCTGCCTCTTTCTGATCCATCTTCCTCACGGTTTGTCAGTTATCCTTCTAAAACACAGTCTGGCCAAAACTGGTTTAGCTCAGTGGATAGAGCGTCGGGCCTGCGGACTGAAAGGTCCCAGGTTCGATTCTGGTCAAGGGCATGTTCCTTGGTTGCGGACACATCCCTGGTGGGGGGTGTGCAGGAGGCAGCTGGTCGATGTTTCTCTCTCATTGATGTTTCTAACTCTCTATCCCTCTCCCTTCCTCTCTGTAAAATAAATAAATAAATACATAAAAAATAAAGTGGGATTACCAATAATTAAAAAAATAATAAATAAACAAATAAATAATAAAACACAGACTGATCATATTAAAAGAGATTCTGAAGGGTGAAGTTTATGTGTGTGGGTTATAGCTCAATAAAACAATCTTCTGAGGTGGCCTTGCCTGTAGAGTTAAAGGCCAGACTCCTTCACCGAACGCTCAAAGCCCCCAAGGCAGCTTTTTGGTCTCGTCTTTCCCTGTGTGCATTAACCAGACTGCTAGTAGTTCTGGGTCATGCCATGTGCTTCCATGCCTCCATGCACGCATCTGCTCATGCTAGGCCTCTGCCTGGAGTGCTTTGTCCCACAGGCCAGTTCCTCATTGAAGTCTTTCCTATCCTAATCTGCCAGAGTGGAAATACAGTGGAAATCTGTTTAGACTGTCATTTTGTAGTACTTTATGCATGTCTGCTATGGCTCATATTAAATAGTGCCTTGATTTATAGCAATTTACATATATGTCTATTTCCTATACTTTACCTTGAATCCCTTCAGAGCTATGTCTTATTCATTCCTTAAGTTCTTTGTACCTAGCATAGTCCTTTGTACCTGATACCTAGAGGACATTCGTAAATTAAAATGCACTTTGAATGTGAGAATGAGAGGAGTGACATGGGACACTATTATTTCCTGAGAAGGGACTGAGTGAAGGTCCTAGGGCCCTCATGGCACTTTCCTTTTAGGATCCATAGGCCAAGACTTGCTTGGTGTCTCGAGGCAGCTCAGAACTAAAGGCTGGAACAAGCAGCTGTATCCTGAGTGGACAGAAAACCAGGGGCCTGATTGCTGGAGAGGTGGGAACTTGGCAAATTCTGGGGAGGGCACGGTAGAAATGGGGTGGGGAGAGAACTGGGTTGAATGTAGTTTGAGAAGAAGGGGAAGGGTATATGAAGAGGAGAGGACAAGGAGTCCCAGCTAATGCAACTGCCTTTTCCAGGAGGCCCGGTGGCCTTGAAGGTCCGTAGTGATGGGCCTACGCTGGTTGGGGCAAATGTCTCCTTCTCTATTTCCCTGCACTTCCCTGAAAGCCAAAAGGTGCTGCCAGATGGGCAGGTCATTTGGTCCAATGACACCATCGTCAATGGTGAGTACCTCTCCATCCCAGGCCCTCCTTCCTCTGTCCCAATTCTCCAGTACCCCTAATGAGCTCAGGGAATGCCCCCTTCCACCTCTAGTGTAAAAACACAAAAACCAAATTATATATGTAATGCATATTCATCGTAGAAAAAGTAGAAAACACAAATAAAGTGGGGGGGGGGGCAGATTATAGTCACCCAAATGGGGGCAGAAGACCCAGTGGACTTAGAAGTTGGATGGATTTACATGTAAACTTGTTACTAGTATGTGATCCTGGGCAAATACTTGTTTTGTGCTCCCGTCCCCTTATCTGTAGAATGGGGATGATACCTACAATGAAGGGTTGTTGTAAGGACTAAAATGTGATAGTATATAAAGAATTTAGCACAAGGCCTGCCCTAGCCTATAGTAAAGGCTCAATAAATGTTAGCAGCGGGTGCTGTTATTTCTACTTTTATCCCATCCGCTAAAGCAGATCCCTCTAAATATATTGATATAGCGCCTTGCAGTCTCTTTCCTATGTAAGTGTATACATATGAACTTTTAATTGCAGTTTCCATTCTTTCCACTACCACCCTAAATGGGTTATACCAAGGGGAATACACTTTGCGGCTAGGGCGTATTCCCAGAGCCCCCCCCCCCCCCCCCCCCCCCGAGCAGTATTAGTGGTTCGGTATAATGCCGGGGTTCAAAGGTGACTCTGTATCTACCTTTCAGGGAGCCAGGTGTGGGGAGGACAGCCAGTGTATCCCCAGGAACTTGATGATGCCTGCATCTTTCCTGATGGGGAGGCCTGCCCATCAGGCCCCTGGTCTCAGAGGAGAAGATTTGTTTACGTCTGGAAGACCTGGGGTGAGGGACTCCCTGCTCTGGCCTGTCATCCACACTTGGATTCACCTCTTCCCACCTGATTCTCTTTCCTTTTGGTCCCATCCTTTAAGCTCTGTAAGTTTCCCTAATCAACCTCCTCTTCCATAGCACTTCGCCCCCTCCAACTCAGTTTAGTTCTTTCTGGGAATCCTCCCTCCGTGAGAGTCCCATTCCATGGAACCACTCATTAGGACTCCTTCCCTGGCCCCCATATTGCCACCTTCCAAATACCATCTAAAATTACCATCCTGCCGAAACCGGTTTGGCTCAGTGGTTAGAGCGTCTGCCTGCGGACTCAAGGGTCCCTCCCGGGTTCGATTCCGGTCAAGGGCATGTACCTTGGTTGTGGGCACATCCCCAGTGGGGGGTGTGCAAGAGGCAGTTGATGGATGTTTCTCTCTAATCGACGTTTCTAACTCTCTATCCCTCTCTCTTCTTCTCTGTAAAAAATCAGTAAAATATATATATATTTAAAAATAAGTAAATAAAATTACCGTCCTTCATTCATCTGACCTTCTTTCTCTGGTGCTGTCTCTAATCAATCTTCTTCAACCAGTAACCCTCACCCCTCTCTGCTTTTCTTTCCAAAACCCTCAGGCCAGTACTGGCAAGTTCTAGGGGGCCCGGTGTCTGGGCTGAGCATCGGGACAGACTCCTCAGTTCTGGGCACAAACACCATGGAAGTAACTGTCTACCACCGCCGGGGGTCTGGGAGTTACATGCCCCTCGGTTACTCCAGCTTAGCCTTCACCGTTACTGGTAAGGATTCGGAGGGAACAAGGCCAATCCCACAGCGAGAGAAGAAGGTGGAGAGGTTTGGCTGGTCTGGAAGGGGAAAAGGGAAATGTGCATAATCTTCAAGGGGCAGAACCAGGAAAACCTGCACAAAGGAATATGGGGCTTAGAGCCAGTGTAGACACAGTCAGCTTGGGGTTGGAGGGTGTGGCTGGGGAAAGAGAAGCTGTGGCCCAGGTGTGCGTCTTAACCTTTTCTCGTTCCAACCCCAGACCAGGTGCCCTTCTCTGTGAGCGTGTCCCAACTGCAAGCCTTGGATGGAGGGAACAAGAACTTCCTGAGAAACCAACCTCTGGTCTTTGCGCTCCAGCTCCATGACCCCAGTGGCTACTTGTCTGGGGCTGACATTTCTTACACCTGGGACTTTGGAGACAGCACTGGGACCTTGATCTCTCGGGCACTTGTGGTCACTCACACTTACCTAGAGTCGGGCCCAGTCACTGCCCGGGTGGTGCTTCAGGCTGCTATTCCTCTCGGCTCCTGTGGCTCCTCCCCAGTTCCAGGAACCACAAATGGGCTTGTGCCAACTGAAGGGGCCCCTGGCACCACAGCTGGGTTAGTGCCTACTGCGGAAGTTGTAGGTACGACACCTGGTCAGGTGCAAACTGGAGAGCCCTCTGGAACCACAAATGTGCAGGTGCCAACCACAGAAGTTTTAGATACTACACCAGTGCAAGTGCCAACTGCAGAGGGCCTAGGCACCACACTTGCAGAGATGCCAACTGCAGAGGCTATAGGTACGACCCCTGAAGTGTCAACCAGAGAGCCCTCTGAAACCACAGTTGTACAGGTACCAACCACAGAGTTGGTGGAGACCACAGCGGGAGAGGTACCCACGCCTGAGCCTGAGGGTCCAGATGCCAGCCCATTCGTGCCTACAGAAGGTATTACGGGTAAGAGGGCCAGTGTGAGTGAGGTTTAGTGAGGTGGGGCATTTGTAACTAAAGAGCTGAAAGACTTCAGGACCCAGCTGTTACTCACTCATTTGCCTGGCAATGGGAGTCCCCTCAGAGGCCTCACTGGTTTTAAAGCCCTCAAGTCCCTCTTACTGCCATGGACTAGATATGGAGTTCAGAAGTCAGGGCCTTCCCCTAGGACCTGGGGAGAGAGCTTGTTGCTTCTCTGTCCCTGAGAGCTGTTCTCTGAGGAACAGGCCAGGGAATGACAGACTGTGGTTATTTATATAATCTTTATATCTCATTTTCTGTGCAAGCGTAAATGCATAAATTTTTTTTTTTCCAGATTCTGACACCATTTCCCACCCCTGGATTCTCTTCCCAAAGCAGACCAGTCTGAAATGATAGCACTGAAAATGGGAGAGTGCAAAAGTGACACTTAGATGAGTTAAACATATATCTAGCCTAGGGCCTGGCACAGTGAGGGCTATAATAAATACTTGTGATTTTTTAAAACTCTAACTCTATCCCATCTGTGAGGCTGTGGGGCAGTAATTTCTCCTTCAGGGCCTCAGTTTCCTTATCTATACAATGAGATTTCCCGGGTCTTGTCAGATTCCAAGCCGATCCGGCTAGGCTTGTTTCCAGGTGAGTCATTTGTCTGTTGATTCTCTCCTCTCCTGCCAGGCTCCCAGAGCCCCCTGCTGGATGACACAGCCTCCCTCATCCTGGTGAAGAGACAAGCCCCCTTGGATTGTGTTCTGTATCGATACGGTTCCTTTTCGCTCACCATGGACATTGTCCGTGAGTCTTGCCTGCTGCGGGGGCTGGCGGAGGGAGGTGTGGGCTGCCTCAGGTTGCCAGTGGAAGCATACTGTGGAAGGAGTTGCTCACGTGGGCAAGAATAACTAAATCCCAGAGTTTTCATTTGAAGGCAAGGGGAAGGGATTAGGGACTTCCTGTCTGTGGGCCTTTAGGGAATCCTGGTAGAGGAATCCCAGGCTTAAAATCTTGCAACTTTGCAGAGGGCATCGAGAGTGCTGAGATCTTGCAGGCTGTGCCATCCAGTGAAGGGGATGCATTTGAGCTGACTGTGTCCTGTCAAGGCGGGTGAGTGTCCCCGAGAACTCCTGGTTGACCCGTTAACCTACTCTCTGTATCAAGTGTTCCTTCCCAGACACCCCCCTCCCCCCCGACATAAGATGTCACCTCTCCCAGGCTGCCCGAGGAAGCTTGTGTGGACATCTCATCGCCAGGGTGCCAGCCCCCTACCCAGCGGCTGTGTCAGGCTGTGCCACCTAGCCCAGCCTGCCAGCTGGTTCTGTACCAGGCACTAACAGGCGGCTCAGGGACCTACTGCCTCAATGTGTCTTTGGCTGATGCCAACAGCCTGGCAATGGTCAGCACCCAGCTTGTCATGCCTGGTAGGTACTTGGACAAGAGCAGGGATGAAGAAGGGCAGTGGGCAGAGGCTATCTGTCAGGGAACAGACACTGAAGCAGAGTCTGGGATTCTACTCACAGGTCAAGAAGCAGACCTTGGGCAGGCTCCCGTGTTCGTGGGTATTTTGCTGGTGTTGATGGCTATGGTGCTTGCATTTCTGGTATACAGGTGAGAACCCCACCATCCGGCTCACACTCCCTTCTTCCTTATTTCCACCACTCACTCTTCCTCCTGAGGAAGTGTAGTGTCCAGGAAAGAGCCCAAACTTGGAAGTTAAACAAGAATGGGCTGCATTCTTGCTCGTGGGATTTTGGGAAAGTAGCTTAACCTTTCGAACTTCTGAAAAGTAGGAAAACTAACACTTATCCTGTGGGCTGTTGTCAGGATTAGATACAATGTGGATAAAGCATCTGGTTCCGAAGCAAGAATACAATAAATGATTATATTGATGACTATTGTTATTGGCAATATCAAAGGCGGAGGAGGTTTGGCGAACTGAGTTCTCCACCTGCAAAAAGGCCAGATCTCTGGGCCTGGAGTCCTCAAATAGGGAAGCTTGTAGGAGAGGGGAATGGACAGAGGCCACCACAGCAACAGGAGAGGATGAACCCTGTTGGTGAGGAGAAGGTTGGGGAGCAAAGACCAAGGCCAAGGAAACCTGAAATATGGGCTGTCCTTTGGAGAGGCACAGGCAGGCTGCCCTGGGCCATTGCTAACGCCTCTCCTCCTTCTCCCAATCTCAGGCGCAGACTTATGAAGCGGGGCCCTGCTGTCTCCCTTCCCCAGCTGCCACAGGGCAGCACCCCCTGGCTGCGCCTGCCCCGGGTCTTCCACTCTTCCTCCATGGGTGAGAGCAGGCCCCTCCTCGGCGGGCAGCAGGTCTGAGAACTTGCATGGGCTGCCATGATTTACCCAGGGTGGACAGAAATGCCTATCTTTTCTCTACTCAAAGGCTGCCATTACCTGAAATAAATACTCAGAACCCGATGCTGGTTTTTTCTTGCTTCTCGGAGTGAAGGAATAAAGGAAGGAGGTATACCACTCACTTACCAGATACCCCAGTGAGGGGGGAAAAATCATTTTATTCAGATGAGGCACTTGCAACGTATGAGTTTGTGGTGTTTGTGTGTGTGTGTGTGTGTGTGTGTGTGTGTGTGTGTGTGTGTGTGTACACATATATGTGTGGGAAATAGTGGAGGTGGTGCAGGGTAATAAATACTGTAAGGGTGAAGGAACACTGCCCTGAGCTGGCAGGAGGGTATGGCAGCAGTATACACAGCCTACAGAGTAGAGTCCAGAGAGGTGGGTTCAAGGCTGGCTTGGAGGCTGAGGTGTCCCCCCTCAACACAAGAAGCCAAAGAAATTGGAGGAGCGGGGGGGTGGGCCCATGAGCATGGGCATCTGGTTCTTGTGGGTGATCTTGATCTGAAAGGAAAGAGGGCATGTTCAGATGCAGAACCCGGTCTTCTTGGGGAAAGACCCGTGGGTTCAGGGTGGGTTGCTGGGGTCCAAGATAAGCCATTCATAGTAGGAAGGCCAGGGGCTGAGAAGACAGGGTATGAGAGGAATGGTGCACAGGGGAACTCCAGGCATCAGGAGGAAGTAAAGAAGCTATGGAATGGAGATTTAGGATCCATGGGGTCTGAGGGTTCAATTTTTGGCAGGCTTAGGCAATACTTACCGTACAGGGCGACTGCATCCATGGTTCTCCATCAATTTGCATGGGAAGGGTTTTCGTGGTGCTGTGGGAGGCCAAGGTAGATTGGTGGAGATTTCCTTGCCAATTAAATACCAAAGCTCTATTTTTTTAGATTGGCTTTCAGATCCTTTAGCACTGAGATCTCCTAGGTCGGCCCCTCCCCACCATTCCCATGTCCCAGGTGCTCCGAGCCCAACTCCTTCCCTCAGAGCCCCTGGCCAGAGTTTGCCTTACTGGAAGGTGATCTCCGAGCACTTGGCCAGCCGACGTCCAGCATTTTTGAGCTTGGTGTAGATCTGGCCCATTTCAATTGCACCCTCCAGCCCTACCACTTCCAGCCGCTTGTCAGTTGGGTCTGGGGGCGGAAAGTAGTAAGATAAGCTTTGCAGAAGCAGGGTGCCTTCAAAGAGTCACACCTTCCCCTTAGTCCCGCTCACTCCACTTCCAAAGCTGCTCCTCTCACCTGGTACACTGGTTTTCAGGATGTCAGGGTCAGTGATGACTTTAGCTGCAGAACCTAAGGCCTGGTTGATCCCATGGGTGTCCCCATGGGGCCTCTTGGTATCACCCCAGAGGTTGGATCCACCATGCGTGCTAGGAATGTTCAGGACTGCAATGCCTTCTAGAGATAGGGAACTCAGATCCAGTGGTTTCCCACAGATCTGAGAACAGGAGAAAACAGATCCTCACTTCATGACATAATCAAGGGCTATGATCTCTTCCTCCACCAAATGGCCAACAGGGAAAGCCAAAATTTTGAGTTTTGAAAGGGCTGGAGAGAAATAGGGACTGGTAAATCTTGAGAACTTGGGAATTCAAAATTGGAGAGCCGGGAGGTCAAAGCAAAGGTTCAAGAATATGGGAAATTTTTTTACCGAAACCGGTTTGGCTCAGTGGTAGAGCGTCGGTCTGTGGACTGAAAGGTCCCAGGTTCTATTCCGGTCAAGGGCATGTACCTTGGTTGCGGGCACATCCCCAGTAGGGGGTGTGCAAGAGGCAGCTGGTCGATGTTTCTCTCTCATTGACGTTTCTAGCTCTCTGTCTCTCTCCCTTCCTCTCTGTAAAAATCAATAAAATATATATTTTTTAAAAACTTATTTTAAATAATATATGGGAAATTTTTGAGGCACTTGTGTAGGGAGAAACTAAGGTATAAAAAGCTGAAAAGGATGTAGGGTTAGGTTTCATCATACCCACCTCAACTGTCAAACACTCCTCCAGCTTTTTGCATGTTGAGAAGATGGATTCAGATGTGGCAAATTCAAAATACCATAGCTTGTTCTTCATTCTGTATCAGCCCCAACACAAGACCCAGTAGGGAAGGGACAAATTATACAGTTGGCCGTGACAGGGAAAGGCATCAACTTCCTGACTCCATACCCATGCAGAATAGGGTACCTTTGGGGTGAGGGCTGTCCTAGAGATGTCACTGCCCATATAAGTGCTCTGGTCACACTTGGCCACAACTGGTCCCTGCCACTGTGTATGCCTATCCCCACTCCCACTTTCTCTCACCTGCTGTTGAACTTCTCAGGATATTTCTCTCGCATCATGTGGAATCGGTGAGCAATAGAGGCGTCCTGGGGAGTTCAGGGCACGTAAGATCAGAGGCCTGCCTCCTCTTAGCACAGAACTTTCTTTAACTTCCCCATTTGGGAGCAGTATGCCTCATGTTCTTTTCTCGCAACTCACACCACTGGCCCCACCCCAAATTTTCCTGTATACAGCTTCTACCTTCCCAGTCTGCCCTCCTCCAGCCTGTGCCTGCTTAACCCCTACTTCCTTTCTTCCCCCCCTGCCCACTCCACTGACCACACCAATGGAGAAGTAGTTATTGATGATATGAAAGGGGACTGGGTCACACTTTTCTTCAGTTTGTAGGGGTATCACTTCCACAGACCATCGATCCATATGTACCACTTTACTGGTCTCTAAATCCTTGAGGATCTTCCCCAAATTCTGTCCCTCATAGCCTAGGGAGGGAGGGAGAAGACAGATTAGCACTCAGTCCCAAGTCCCAGAGGGACCTCCTCTTAGCTCCTAGCTCCACAAATTCCCAGGGATCCTCTGCCCTGATCCTGCAGACCCTCTCAGCCCTTGCCAGTGGAAGGGAAGGGTGCTTGGACATGGATGGGCCTTGCTGACCCTTTTCTCCACACTGTCATGAAGGATGAGTGTTCCCAATGTGTGTACTCATCTAACAATAACGCCAAAGTTCATCTGGAAGACTAGAGAAGATAGCCAGAAAAATGTTAAAATGAGCGATGAGTGGGGAAAATTCATATTCTCTCTCTCTCTCTCTCTCTCTCTCTCTCTCTCTCTCTCTCTCTCTCTCTCTCTCTCTCTCTCGACACTCTGTCTAAACAGTGTGATAAAAGTAAATAGAATAGAAAGTAAAGGACAGAATGCCCAGAAATAGAATGAAGTGTATATGAGAATTTAGTATATGATGACATTTCAAGTAATTAGGGAAAAGATAAGACTATTTCATAAATGTGCTGGGTGTAAAAGTTACTCCTTATACCAAAATAAATTCAAGATGGATCAAAGAATTTAAATGTAAAAAAAGGAAGCAGAATTTGTACTAGAAGAAAGCACAATGCTTTGCCAAAACCGTTTTTGGCTCAGTGGATAGACCGTCAGCCTGGGGACTGGAAGGTCCCGGGTTCAATTCCGGTCAAGGGCATGTACCTTGGTTGAGGGCACATTCCTGGGGGTTGGGAGGGGGCGGGAAGCAGTTGATGGATAATTCTCTTTCATTGATGTTTCTGACTCTCTATCCCTCTCTCTTCCTCTCTGTAGAAAATCAATAAAAAAATATTTTTTAAAAAAAAGAAAAGAAAAGAAAAAAAGAAAGCACAAAACTATTTTGAGTGGAAAAGTCCTTTCTAAAGCATAATACAAAGCTAGGAGCCAAGAAAGGGAAAGACTGATTAACACAAATATATTAAATTTACAAACTTATGTATGGTTAAATAAATAACACACTTAAAAAAAAACAAAAAACAAAGACACAAAGCCTTATTGGTTGTCTGCCCACGGACTGAAGGGTCCTGGATTTGATTCCTGTCAAGGACATGGACCTCAGTTGCAAGCTCAATCCCCTATCCCTTTTAGGGCATGTGTAGGAGGCAAACAATTGATGCGTTTCTCTCACATCAATGTTACTCTGTGTTTGTCCCCCACCCTTCTGACTCTGTCTAAAAAATATCAATGGAAAATATCCTCAGTGAAGATTAACAGCAACAACAACGAAGACAAAATACAAACTGAGAAAAATTTTCTGCAACACAGACAACAGATTAACTTCCCCAACATTCATAAAAAGCTTACAAATTCTATATTTATAAAGTCAATAGAAAAATTGGCAAATAAGGCAAACAAGCTAATCACTGAAGAAATACAGCCCTAGCTGGTTTGGCTCAGTGGATAGAGCGTCAGCCTGTAGACTGAAGAGTATGGGGGTTGAGTCCTGTCAAGAGCATGTGCCTGGGTTTCGGGCTCAATCCCCGGTAGAGGAGTGTGCAGGAGGCAACCAATCAATGATTATCTCTCATTTGGTGTTTCCAACTCTCTCCCTCTCCCTTCCTCTCTGAAATCAATAAAAATATATTTAAGCCTGGCCATTGGAGATCACAGTTCGATTCCTGGTAAGGACACATGCCTGGGTTGCGGGTTGATCCCCAATGTGGGGTGTGCAGGAAGCAGCCGATCAATGATTTTCTCTCATCATTAATGTTTCGACTGCTTGTTCTCCCTTCCTTTCTGAAATCAATAAAAATATTTTAAAATAATAATAAAATGTATTTTAAAAAAAGAAATACAAGTGGACAATATGCATATTAAAGATGCTCTGATTAGGCCCGGAGCAGCCGGGTCGGGTGCAGCCAGGCCCGGAGCAGCAGCTGCCAGGCTGGGAGCGGCCAGACCCGGAGCGGCAGGGGCTGGAGCAGCCAGGCCCAGAGCAGCCGGGTCGGGTGCAGCCAGGCCCGGAGCAGCAGCAGCCAAGTCCAGAGCAACTAGGTCGGGAGCGGCGGTGACCAGACCCGGAGCAGCTAGTTGTGGAACGAACCAGAGCAATAGAGGCCAGGCCCTGAGCAGCCAGGCCCGGAACAGCTCACTCCTGGCCTGCCCCTGCCCCATGGCTGCCTCTCAGACATGGCTGGAAACTTTTGCGGGAACTTGAGGGTCTGCTGAATCAAGTGATGAAGGCTTAGATCTGGATGTGTTGAGTTAGTATAGGGCTGAGGTGTTGATCTGTGAGTGCCTGGGTGGGGCCTGGATGAGGCTGGTTGACCTATTTGGAAATGTCTTTTGTGTGAAGTGTATCATTGGGCATGTGGAGGTATTATTAATATGAGAAAATGCTAAGTAACTGATTTACTATCTGAAAAGGGATTTACTATCTGGGAAAGGGAGGGAGGAAGAGACTGAATATAAACTGTGCACCTATGGATGAGGACAATGGGGGACGGGGAGGGGGCGGAGGGTGGGGTGGGAACCTGGTGGAGGGGGGAAGAAATGAGGAACCTTTGTAATGATATGAACAATAAAGATTGATTTAAAAAAATAAATAAATGAAGATGTTCTGATTAACAAAGTATAAAGAGATTGAGACAACCAAGTGTTAAAGAGATTGTGAATAAGCTGGCACTCTCATTTGCTATTAGTTGGAGCATATATTGTTTTTGTTTTTGTTTTTATTGATTTCAGAGAGAAAAGAAGAGGGAGAGACAGAAACATCAATGATGAGAGAGAACCACAGATCAGCTGCCTTCTGCACACCCCCCACTGGGGACCAAGCCTGAAACCCAGGCTTGTGCCCTGGATCAGAATCAAACCTGGGACCCTTCAGTCCGCAGGCCAATGCTCTATCCACCGAGCCAAACCAGGACTGGAGCATATATTGTTATTTAATTTCTGGAAGGCAATTTGACAATTTTATCAAAATATTATCAAATTTTATCAAAACATCATTTGATGTAGCAATTCCACTTTTAGGAATTTTACCTACAGAAACTAACATTTAAGTGCACAGCAATAGATATAGACGTAAGTTTGCTGAGTTACTTCTAAAAGAGCAAAAAATTGGGAAAAATCTAAATGTCCACCACTAAGGGAAGGTTATATAGATGTGGCAAATCCATGCTATGAAATAATGTGCAGCTACTGAACACAAAATGAAATCGATAGGTACTAACATGGAAGATCTCCGAGACACATTATGCAATGAAAAAAGAACCAGAAAAATCTAGATACCATCATCCCATTTATGTTTGTTTAAAAGTTCCATGTGTGTGCATGTGAAAACAGAAAAATGAGTGCAAATAGGAAACAGTGAGAGGAATGTGGAATTTGGTGAGGAATAAGGAAGAGACCTATATGTGAAGACTTACACATTTCACTTTTCAAAAAATTTTATAGTGAAAATGTACTGATGCATTATTTTCTTTTTAATATGGAACACTTCACAAACTTGTGTGTCATCCTTGCACTGAGGCCATGGTAATTTTCTCTGTATCATTCCATTTTAGTATATACTAGAGGCCCAGTGCATGAATTTGTGCACTGGTGGGGTTCCTCAGCCTGATCTGCACCCTCTCACAATCTGGGACCCTTTGGGGGATGTCAGACTGTCAATTTTGGCCTGATCCCTGCAGGCCCAATCCGGACAGGAGGGAGCCTGATCCTGTGCATTGAGCATCTGCCCCTGGTGGTCAGTGCACTTCATAGCTACCAGTAGACCAGTTGTTTGGTTGTTTAGGCTTTTTATATATATAGATACTGCTCAAGCAAGCACTATTTATTTATTTTTTTTAATTTTTAAAAAATATTTTATTGATTTTTCACAGAAAGGAAGAGAGAGGGATAGAGAGTTAGAAACATCGATGAGAGAGAATCATCGATCAGTTGCCTCTTGCACACCCCCTACTGGGGATGTGCCCGCAACCAAGGTACATGCCCTTGTCCGGAATCGAACCTGGGACCTTTCAGTCCGCAGGCCGACACTTTATCCACTGAGCCAAACCGGTCCCAGCAAGCACTATTTATTTTTTAAGAAAATAACTAATCATCTGTCAAATCTTTATGCTCTTGGAGCCAACAATTTCACTTCTTGAAATCCCTCCTAGAGAAATTCTCACATCTGTGTGCGAATTTTGTAGTAAAAGATTAAATGCTACCCAAATGTCTATCAATAGGGAACTGGTTAAATAAATTATGACAGGCACTTTCCTTCCCAGGAGCACATCCATGCTTTTCTTCCCAGAAAGGTGTGCCTCTCCTAAACTCTAACAGTCCCCACAAGACTTGCAATCAGGGGAGCCATGGGCAGCAGCTGCTTCTCCCGGGCTAACCCTCTGAACCTGCCCCCCTTTCTCTGACTTTCCAGTGGGCGAACGCAGCCCCACCTTGGCTCACTTCTTTTTTCCCTATAACAGTTCTAGAGAGCTAAAGCAGCCTCGCCTAGTCTCTCTCCTGTTGCTTTTTCTATCCTAACCCCTTCCTTGTTTCACTATCCTAACTTTAATAAGCAAACTCTCAAAAAAAAAAAAAATAACATTCACAAAGCATAGTGCTATTCAGTAATAAAAAGAGTGAGGCAGCCCTAGCAGGTTTGGCTCAGTGGATAGTGTGGCCTGAGGAGTGAAGGGTCCTGGGTTTGATTCCAGTCAAGAGCACATGCCCGGGTTATCTCTCATCATTTGATGTTTCTATCTCTCTCTCCCTCTCCCTTTCTCTCTGAAATCAATAAAAATATATTTAAAAAAAAGAAAAAGAAATATATGCCGAGACCGGTTTGGCTCAATGGATAGAGCGTTGGCTTGGGGACTGAAAGGTCCCGGGTTCGATTCCGGTCAAGGGCATGTACCTTGGTTGCGGGCATAACCCCAATAGGGGGTGTGCAAGAGGCAGCTGATCGATGACTCTCTCTCTCGTCGATGTTTCTAACTCTCTATCTCTCTCCCTTCCTCTCTGTACAAAATCAATGAAATATATTTTTAAAAAAAGAAATATAATGACAACCAAGATGAATTGTTTAGAGTTAAAAAAGAAGAAAAGCATCTGTAAAACGACCTTGTTGTTTAAATAGATTACTATGTCTCTACAAAGAAAACTGTGTAGAAACAGATTCCAAAACTTTAGGGAGTAGATTACAGGGAACTTTCACTTTCTTGGCATGTAGATCTGAAATGTTTGAAGTATATTTTACCACAAGCAAGTATTATTTTTGTAATCAGGAAGAAAAAGATTACAAAATTGGGTCTTCACTTCCTCACATTCCATTGATAGTTCAACCCTCTGTAATTTGCCTTTCACCATACAACCCTGCTGAAAACTCTTTTGGCAAAGATTGCCAATGATTCCTGCCAAAACCAATAGTATATCTTCAGTTCTTATTTTAACTCATGGAACTACTCACTTGGCTTCTAAAATAGCACCCTCTAATTTACAGAGGGCCCTCTCCAACGCTCCCTCTTAGTCTCTGGGGTAGGCAGAATAATGGCCCCTCAAAGATGTCCACATCCTAATCTCCAGAATCTGTGAATATGTTGCCTTACATGGCAAGCAGCTTTGCAGATGTGATTAAATTAAGGACTTTTAAAATGGGGAGATTATCCTGAATTATCTAGGTGGGCCCAATGTCATCATAGGGGTTCTTATCAGTAAAAAGAGGACCCCTAGAGACTCTAAACAAAACACAGCCCTGCCAACACCTTGACTTTAATGCAAGTGGGACCTATTTTGAACTTCTGATCCTCAGGACGTTCAGATGATAAATTTGTGTTGTTTTAAAACAAATGTTTGTGATAATTTGTTATAGCAGAAACAGATCACTAATACAGTCTCCATTATAATTCATATTCCTCTGCTCAAAACTTAAATAGGGTGATTACCAGGATCTTCCTGTCCTCATCCACCTTCTCTCTTAACTCTTTTCCTGGTAACTCTTCTATTCTCCGCATGTCAATTACTTCCCAGGAGCAGATGACTCTCGAACATGTATCTTCAGCCCTGACTTTTCTTCTAAATTCTTAACATTGATTTCTAACTTCCCACCACACACTTCTATCTGGGTGCTCCACTGACACCTCAATGCAGCATGTCTAAAAATGAATCTTCCTTCCCTAAACTGGTCCTCCTCCTGTATCCCATATCTTAATGAATGCCATCTCATCCGCTCAGTCCACAGACCTAGGAAATGTCTTAGACTGGTCTTCACCTCTTTCTCCACAACCCATTAGTCACCAAACATTGTGGCTGCTACCTCCTGGCCCTGATTGGAGTGCATGCTAGAGGCAACCAATCAATGTGTCTCTCTTACATCAATGTTTCTCTCTCTCTCTGAGTCTCCCCCCTTTCCTTCCACTCTCTCTAAAAAAATCAATGGGCCCTGGCCGGTTTGGCTCAGTGAATAGAATATTGGCCTGGAGGGTCCCAGGTTCGATTCCAGTCAAGGGCACATGCCCGGGTTGCAGGCTCAATCCCCAGTGTGGGGCATGCAGGAGGCAGCTGGTCAATGATTCTCTCTCATCATTGATGTTTCCATCTCTCTCTCCCTCTCCCTTCCTCTCTGAAATCAATAAAAATATTTGGAAAAAAAAAAAAACAATGGGAAAATATCCTCAGGTGAGGATTAATGCAAAATAAAACAAACAAATAAAATCTGGCCAAAAATTTACATTGTAATATGTATTAAAAGATATTCCTAATTTCTAGAATAATATTTTATATAGAGAGGGATAATATTTTATTTTACTTTTAAATATATTTTTTCTTGTTTTCAGAGAAGAAGGAGAGGGAGAGAGATAAAAACATTGATGAGAATCATTGACTGGCTGCCTTCTTCACGTCCCACACAAGATTGAGTCCACAACCATGTGCCCTGACTGGGAATTGAACATGATCTCCTGGTTCATAGGTTGACATTCAACCACTGAGCCATACCGGCTGGACAAGAGTATAATACACACACACACACACACACACACACACACACACACACACACACATATATATATATATATATATATATATATATATATATATATATATATATATATCTTTCATGAGTTTAAGAGCTCCCTACAGTTCAGGGATTGCACATCTAAGCCTTAGTTGTTAGAAAGGTCATGTGGATGAGTGAATAATAGGAAGCCCAGGGATTGTGGGCAATTGAAGATTACATAACCCACTTCTTAGAAATAACAAGGTCAAAAAAATTAAAACACTGCAAGGTAGAGAGTACAAATAATTTCTGTGGACTGTCAGCTAGCAATCTTCAGCAAGATAAAGTTAAAAACTCCTCAGCACAGCATTCATGACCCTCCATAATCTGGACTCTAGTAAACTCAGGCCTTCTCCCCATTCCCCATTTCACACCTTATGTCCCAGTCACAATGAATGACACACTTTCCCCTAATGCACCGCCACATTGTTTAGTGGCTCCAATGGATTTATATAATTTCTTCCACTTAAAACATTTTATTTTCCTTAGCAGACCCCTATTCTATAATCTCCTGTGACATCTCAGAGCTGGACTTTGAATCCAACATCTCAACTCCAAGATACCTCAAACTCAACCCGCCCCACACTGACCTCTTTAACTACTAATACCTTCAACTCTTTTCTCTCTCTCTCTCTCTCTCTCTTTTTTTAAAAAAAATTTTTATTGATTTTTTACAGAGAGAAAGGGAGAGAGACAGAGAGCTGGAAACATTGATGAGAGAGAAACACCTCCTGCTGTGCCTGCAACCAAGGTATATGCCCTTGACTGGAATAGAACCTGGGACCCTTCAGTTCACAGGCTGACGTTCTATCCACTGAGCCAAACCTGTCAGGGCAACTCTTTCTCTTTTAAAGGAGCAAAAGTCTAGAAATGGGAGTGCAGTTAGGAGACTGTTGCAATACACTTGGGAATAAATTATAATGAATGAATACATGACCTGATTAACTGGTTGAATGAATGGATGAGTCATGGCAAATCTCCCTACTAGTTCCATCACTCAGCATCTGGCTTACATATTTTTAAAAAATACGGTTTCATTTATTTGAGAGAGAGAGAGAGAGAGAGAGAGAGAGAGAGAGAGAGAGAGAGAGAGAGGAAAAGAGAGAGAGAGAGAGAGAGAGAGAGAGAGAGAGAGACATCAATCCGCTGCCTTCTGCATGCCTCCTACTGGGGATCAAGCTGCAATTCAGGCATGTGCCCTGACTAGGAATCGAACCATCAACCTTTCTCTGTGCACTGGATGATGCCCAACCAACTGAGCCACACTGACCAGAGCTGGCTTAGCTCTTATACAATCTTTCTTATCCCCACATTGTCCTCCCTCTATCCCCATTTTCCCTGATGCTCTGGGCCCTAAGAATTGGTTGGGAGAAATTGAAAGAGATTTTTAGATTTCTAAGTTCAGACTGTGATCCTTGTTCCTTCCAAAGCTCTCTTCTTTTGGGACAATCCACTTTGGTACCCACCCATCTATACCTCTTCTTCCCAATCCTCTTTGTACACCAGATGCCTAGATGCTTTCTAGGTATCTTTCCCTTCCACCCCAACTCATCCATTACCCAAGAAAAAATTTCTAATCATTTACCTCCTCCCCATCTTAGACAACGAGCTAGATCATTTCCGGTGCCCAGGGGTAACACAGCAACAGGAGGCACAACAGGCAAGTTGGCTTTGTCTGGGGAGGCAGGTGAGGAGATGCATGGAGGGAGTTAGCTCTGGAAGACCACTGCCTGAGTGCCCTGCCCAGAGTGCTCCCTGCACTGACCAATGGTCTCAAGGATCCAGCCTACTGTGCCATCTCCACCACACACCAAAATCCGGCAATCAGGAACTTCTCTGAAGAATCTAAGCCTGAGACAAAAGATGAAAGAGAAGATGAGGGACGATAACTGGAATGAGGTTACCCAACTCTTGGATGTGCTGATTACTTCTATTTTGGACTTTCTTTATAATCCCCTTTTCCTAAGTCAAAAGACTTATCTCTATTAAGGGCAGAGAAAAGGTACAATGGGGATAATTTATAGCCACTCCTTAGTAGTTAGGGAGAAATTGGTATCTCCAACCTTTGAGAGCAGAACAATGATGAGGCAGAGCACTCAGAGGAGAGGATACTCAGTGACCCTAGTACAAAACAACATTCTGAATTCTGGTTTCTAGGGGTCCCCTGGCCCTCCCCTCCAACATGCAATCTTTCCTACTCTCTCAACATACACGGATAGGCAGACACACACACATGTTGGGATATAGCTCCCAACTGACACTCACCCTGGCTCAGGACCATCCTTTAGGAGGTTGAACACCTGTCGAGGGTTTAGCAGATACTGGAATTTCCAAAGCACCCTGTTTAAGGGGGGAAAAGAAAAGCTTATGGCAGGGGATGGAGTTTCTGTACTCCACCTTCTTGCTGTCCTCCTCAAGGAAAGTCCTCCCCATATACACAGATTCCGAATCTCTGTTGGTCTGCTCCCTCCATCTCAGAAGACTCAGTATTGGTTTCTCACCTCTCTCCCTGCTTCCCACCACTCTTAGGGTTGACAAAGACCAGAAGTGGGTGGGTGTTTGCAACAGGGTCAATCTGCATGGGGGAAGAAAACAAGGATAAGGAATGCAGGGTTTTGTTAAGAGTTCACTTAACTGGACACAGGGGCAGAAAGCTGTCATTCCCCCAAGATATATTTTCCCCTCCTCTACCAGGGTGGGGCTTCTGGAGAGTGGGCACAATTCCCCAGGTTTCCACTTCATTCCCCACAAGTGGACTCCAGGGAAGGAAAACCATCCCCCACCACACGAAGCCCAACCCTCTCAGCCTTGTACCCGCAGAGCCTCAAATGTGCTCAAGGTTAATTCATCCGCGTACTTCTGGCTTGTTTTGCTACCTCTTTGCTCCTGTCCAGAGGCCTAGGGAGGGAAGCAAAGGGAAGGAAAATTGGATTGTGTGTGAATCCCTAAACAGCTGGGAGTTTGACTTGAGTCCTCAAAGTATAGGCTCTCTGCTCTAAATGGCATTGTGTGTGTGTGTGTGTGTGTGTGTGTGTATTTTTAAACCGGAGAAGCACTCTTGTCCCCTCCCAGCCGCTTCCCACAGGTCTCACCAAGACACTGGGATAGATGGAAGATGGGGGCAAGATGTGATCCCGGAGCAGCCCACAGTCACACTCATGGCCCACAGCCTGCAGGCAGTCATCATGGATCTGAAAGACAAGGTGGGCATGGAGAGATCGTGGAAAGAACTTCATCACTTCTCAACTTGGGGATCTGGTGCTGAAAAAAAAAGCCCTTAGGGGCTGTAAAGGATATGCTGTCTGGGAAGCATAGAAGACTAAAGTCTAACAGAGAAGACAGGGCAGTTAAGCCCGGTGCCCCAAAGCACAGCCTGTAGAAAAAGCCTCCGACTAACCTCTAGGTGGCACCACACACAATGCAGCCCAACGAGACCGTGGTAGATCCGGATTTTTTTCTGACAACGGTCGCATCTTCCAGATACACAGCCTCCTCGCACCCACACATGTGATTGGACCTTGGGGAGAAAGGCAATCCCAGTCTGAGAGGGTCTGAGCAAGGACTGGGGAAGGGCTGAGGGGTAGCAATGGGTCAAGGGCTGGGGCCAGGCTGCGGATAGTGATGGGGTAGGCATGGGGGTCACTCACACCAATGTCCTTCCGAGACTTGGCATAGGTGCTGACTTCACAAGGCAGGGCCTTCATGGCACACTGGTCGTGAACGGTGTACTTACAGACTGGGCAAGGGGGAAGAAGGTCAGAGCCTTAGCTAGAGCCCCTCTCTCTAGTTCCTCCTTACCTGGGGGTGAGGTATGATCACTCACTGAAATAGACATAAAATCCCTTGCTGTGAGGGTGTGGTAGATAATTAAAGTTTGGGGTGGGGGCTCACTTCCAAGACCTATGCCTTTTGCTCACTCTTCCCCTAAGAGAGCAATTGTTACTGCATGACTACCCCCTACTCCCTCCATGTGCCAACAACTGAGTTGGATGATCCAAAGGAGGCCCAGAGAGAACAACAATAATAATAACTAATTATTTTTGCAGACTTCATAGTTGGTACATGCACTGGATGAAGCACTTTTCTTGCAACAACTTATTTAGTGCTCACAATGATTTCAGTTGAGAAAGACTAAGGCTTAACTAGGTCACGTAACTAGTCAGTGGCAGAGGTCAGAATTCAAACCCAGGTGACACTAAGTTCAGAGTAAAATGCTCCCACAGAGAGCTGGGCTGCCCCGCAGCTCCCGCACTCCCATCCCCATCACTCACGGTTACAGCACAGGCCCTGTTTGCCAAGGCCAATGCTTGACTCGCACAGGTTGCAGTAGACTGGTCGGGGGAACCTTTTAGGTCTCCACATGTGCTGCCCATTGTCCTTCAGGGTCTAGGAGGGCACAGTGAATGCTAAGGAGTATCTAAGCCCTTAGAAAACCAACCTCTGACAAGCACAACCCAAGGCAGCTGTCATAACCATCCTCAAAAGTCCCTCCTACTCACCATCTCCAGACCCAGCAGCACTAGCAGTGGCACGGTAGTGGCCCCAGCCCGGAGCCACTCAGCTAGGGAGACAGAGCCACTGCCATCGTAGTCAATCTCTTTCATCATTTCCTGAAGGATCTGAGCAGAGAATGGGGAGACTCTTGGTGTTAGCGGCCCCTCAGACTTGACATCTCTCCATGGCCCCCTAGGACACCCAGACCGGCCATCCTAGTCAAGGGTAAAGTAGACTCACCAGGGAGAAAATACAAGAAGGGACATGAAGGAAGAGCTGCCTTACCGGCTTCAGTTCAGACACATCCCAATCCAGGTATTCAGCCACTCGCATCATCTGTGTGATGATTTTGTCCACTTCCTGTGGGCCAATAGAGCAAGAGCCACAGCCATATCCCACCTCACTACCACCATTCAAACCACGTTCTCTAGAAATCAGTTCTTGGATTCCATCCCAGACCCATCTCTCATTCTCAGGTGCCTATGCTAAGTCTATGCGTGTTCATATGTTTGCAAGGCAGTCCCCAATTCATGCCTCCAGCCTCCTCTTTTAGGCATCAAGAGCTTGGGACCTACTCCCAAATTTAGTTCTACAGGATTCAACTTCTCCCTCTAGCTTCCTCTGCTTCTTAAGATCCTGGAAGAGTTGGGACAGGAGGGCATAGACAAATGGACACATACTCCCTTGCCCCGCATACAGGTCCCCCAACTCACTGAGCTGTCCAGGATCCCATTTCTGTCCATGTCGTACAGCTTGAAGGTGACTGTGGGATATTTTAGGGGGGCCAGGGTCAGTTTGTGAGGGATGCCCAAAGAATTCACAATAAAATACAGGGGAAACAAAGAGACAGAGAGAAAACTTTTAGATGAAGAGCCCAGAGCTTGGGATTGGGACTGAAAAGGGAGACAAAAAGGGAGGGGTAATAAGTCTGGATTCCACCCTCAATGAACCTGATAGGGGAGATACTACACACCATCTATATCCCAAGAACACCCCAGGCCACCTACATGAAAATGTACAAAACATAGGAACTCAGGTAACTATGGTGCTGGCATTAGGTAAAAGGAGTCTGGGGGAAAAGAGAAAATGGGCCCACTCTCTGGCCCCACCTTTGTCGGGCCCTGTCGGTCTTTAGGAATCCTGAAAAAATTAGGGAAGGAAGGCGGGGGAACACCCTCTCTCCCTTCACCTTTCTTCCCCTCCCCCAGTCCAGAATGGCAACTCACATTCTAGCTTGTCTTCTGGTCGGCCACCCTCCAGAAGGGAAAAGTAGCAGGAGACATCGCTGAGACAGACCATATCTGGTTACAAAAAGTACAGCAAATCTGAGGTTGGGGCTCCCTCCACTCTGGCTCTTCTCTTTCCCTTTGTCCCAACTCTTCCCTTTAACTTTTCTTCTTCCAGCTCCCAGACACCAGCAAGGCCAACCTCTACCTCTGACCCCTAACCTACCCCCAACATGTGACTCGATTCAACTCTCACCCCAAAACCCATGACTTTTCTTTAGAAAGCCGGGCCCATTCCCACCTATGTGACCATACCTTTTTTTACAGTCTCTTCTAAGGAGTGACTAGTCTGGAAGGATTGAAACAGTGCCAAGCTTAGGTGACTGGGAACATCATCCACTTCCAGATAGATTTTCAGGAATTGTCGAAATCCCTCATACCCAATGGCCTATGATGAGAGCAACCATTATCCTGGGGAGTCTGCAGGATGGGAGTTGAAAATTGAAGAACTGGGAATAGTGGGGACAGAAACAGTAAGTGCAGAATTGAAAAGAATCCAAGGCAGGAATATAATTTCTTAGGTTGAGTCCTGAATTAATAGAACCTCTTGCTTTGTCCTAAAGCAATATCTGCAAATCAATGAATATTGGGAGGAAGAGAACATGGATTGGCCCAGAATAATCCTTGGAAATTGGGGATCCCAATGGTGTAGCAAAAAAAAACAAAACAAAAAGAACCCCACAAAATACCCAAAAAACAAAACAACAACAACAACAACAACAACAAAAATATAGGAGGAGTTGGTCCAGGAAAAGATTTACCAGCTGCCACTCACATCTTTTTGGACATATCTAGCCATTTCACCATCCTCAAAGAGCTTTAGGACATCACTGACCTTCTTGGTGGAGTCTGAGGTGTGAAGAAGAGTGGAAGAAGAGCATTAGTCTAACTCTCCCTGCCCTTGGCCAGTGTCCCTCCCAGACATCCAACAGGAAAAAAGATTCAAGTGAGATAAAGAAAAAAGAAAGTCTGACATACACAGAAATACAGAAGAGAAAAACATTTCGGGTCCTCCAAAGTGGTACCCCTATTTTTTTCATCTCTGAGGCTTGGAGCAGGCAGTCAAGGTTCAGAGAAGGTAGATGGAGAGCTGAGACCCCAGACCCCTCCCTTCTCCCTCTCCTCCTTTTCCTAGTCAGAGGCATATCTTAGGAGCTGACTGGTTCAAAATCCCTGGGGAAACTGAGGGTGAGGGGGAAATTGAAGGAAGAGGAGGAGTTCTCTGGGGTAAGGTCTCCAGAGCTAAAGGATGGAAAGAAAGACTCACATTCCATGTATTTTTGCAGCTGGGCAAAATCATTGGGGCTTATCAGGCCGCTCTCTTTGGCCATCTTTCTTCTTTTCGCACGGATGGCCACAAAGATAGTTTGGTAGTAGTACCTATGGCGCCTGGACGTCGACTGCAGAGAGTAGGTCTGGAGGATGACAAGAGTATATGGCTGGAAGAGCCAGCATAGGCTCTCTGGTGTCTCCTCCGTTAATTCTCCACTCTGTCTCCTCAGTTAATTCTCCGCTCCCACTATTATTTTTCTTCTTTCCTTATCTCTGAGTCTCTCCCTAAGTCTCTTCCTTTTGTGTTCCTCTCCATGTGCCCCCCACCCCCACCCCCCCAGTCTGTCCTTTGTCTCTGTTTTTGACTCATCTCTTTCTCTCCTCCATTTCTGGATCCTACACCAGCTCTCTTATTCCCCTCGCCCCACAGTCTGTCTTAATACATCTCTGACCACTCTCACTTTCCCGCCCCCACACCCGCTTCGTGAGTGTGTCTCTCGCCAGCTTCTCCCTTTTCTTCCGCCTCCCCCAATCTCTGCAGTCTCTCCCAAGCCTGTGCTCTCCATCGCAGACCCCACAGTCCCGGCTCTCCCCCTCCGGGTGGTTCTCACTCTACTGATGGCTCGCCTTCCGGGCCAGGACCCCATTTTGCTCCGCCTCCAGCCTCAGTCCCCAGCTCTGCCACCCACTCCCCGAGCCACCCACGACCCGCAACGACCTCTAGCGCTCCTGACGCGCGCGACACAGAACCAACTCTGGCGGGGTCCCCAACCCCGGCCCCGCCTCGCCAGCGTCCAGCGGAGCTCCGCTGAGGAAGGGGGGAAGCGGGGCACGTGAGATTGGGAGGAATTAGGGGAGAGAGACAGCATCTATCTGCCTGGCTTCCCAGTTGCAGCAGGGTTGAACTGAATGCAGGACTCTCAGATTCTGGAGTCTTCCCACTACCCACCTAGGTTGGCTCACCGTGTTGAGGGAGCCCCAATTCTTAGCTATGGGACTCAGAGACCAAAGAGGAGCCGTCATGTGGATCATACTGACCACTGGCCCAGAGACCAAGTAGCAAAGGGCAACTTGTCTTGAGGATTCAAAAACAGAAATAACAATATCTCACATTAGCATAGCACCGCATAGTACAGCACCGTTTTGGAGTCAAACAGAACTATATCTGGGTTCTATTTTTAGCTCTGACACTACTGTCCGATTTGGGTAAATTACATCTGTAGAATGGGGAGAATAATACCTATCACAGTTGTGAAGATTGTCAAATAATGTATAAAAAGTACCAACTATCATACCTGGCATACAGAAAGCCTTCAAGAAACAGTAGTTATTGTATTAACGATTAAAAGGAAATTCTATGAGATAAAAAATGATGGGTGTAGCCATTCTACAGATGAAGACACTAGAGCTCTGAAAGGAGGTTGGGACTTCCCAAGGCAGGAACCAAAGAGCTTATACCAAAGAATTGTGACTATATATATATATATATATATATATATATATATATATGTTATATAACTTTTTAAAAATTTATTTCGGAGAGGGAGTGAGAGAGAATCATTGACCAGCTGCCTTCTGCATGCCCCCTACTGAAGACTGAGCCTGAAACCCCCAAATATGCCCTAACTGGAAATTGAACCTTGACTTCCTGGTTCATGTGTGAATGCTCAACCACTGAGCAACACTTTCCTTTTCACACACTGCCTTTTAGTCTCACTGCAAACATACCAAGTTCTTCCCTGCTCAGGCCATGAGACTTACTGTTCTGTCTGCCTGGAACACTCTTCCATCCTCGTGGGCAGAGCTGACTTTTTGCCAAAGCTGAAATGTCAGCTCCTCCAAGAGTCCTTCCCTGATCATTCTAAAGTAGTCCCCTCCTTTGCATAGCTCCTTCCTTTGTTTCTATTATAGAACTTACCACAACTAGAAATTATCTTGTTATTTTTTTTTCTTTAAACCATTTCTTATTTTTCAATTACAGTTGACATATATTGTATTAGTTTCACCCCAGTGATTAGACATTATATAACATACTAAGTGATCATCCCGATAAATCTCATACCCATCTGTTTTCTTTCCTGTTTGTCTTCTCCTACTAAAATGTAAGTTCTAAAATGTAACTTACTATTTTTTAAATTCTATTTCTTTAAAGTTTTGTTTCTTTCTTTTAAAATATATTTTTATTGACTTCAGAGAGAAAGGGAGAAGGAGAGACAGAAACCTTAATGACGAGAGAGAATCATTGATCAGCTGCCTACTGCATGGCCCCTTTTGGGGAATCGAACACAGGACTCTTCAGTCTGCAGGCCGATGCTTTATCCACTGAGCCAATACCGAAAACAGCGCCCAGCATGTGGTAGGTGCTCCATATTGGTTGTACAAATAATTGTGTCAAGTTAGGGAGTCATATTTTGAGAATAATAATACAAATAATACAAATATGGTTAAATGGGACGCCAGAGTGTCCATCTTGACAAGGGAATCCATGAGACAATTTGGAGCACATATAGTAGATGCTAAATAAATATTTGTTAAATGAACGAATAATGTTAAAAAGCACTTATTGTACTCCAACCAAGGCTCTGACCTTCTGCCTCCTCTCTGCCCACTTATTTAGGGCTTTTGGATTTAGGCTCAAGGAGGCAGTTAGGACCTTTGAGAATTTCTTTCCTGAAGGTGCAAGAATCTACTCTGTAATCTCTGCCCTTGGGACATCTTTGCTGCCCACCTCTATGGGTATACCATTCCGCTTCCGGGGCCTCTCTGGGAGCACTTAGGAAGGGGATCTGTGATGCTAATATTCCAGAGAAAGGACTCCACCCCTCTGGCCCTTTTCAATGACTATAATTCAACTTCTACTGCCAACAGATCTAATGAATACATAATAGTCTCATGGCTAATGGGGCCTGTATGGCTTAATTAGCCACTCTGATTACCCCTGGGAATTCTTAGATGGCTCCAAGGTTCTAGGAAGTCTGAGAGAGAAAGTGACAGGAGAGAGCAAACAAGGGACAATAGGACAATGCTATTCTCTCCTGTCTCTCTCTTCAAAATGACCCTTCCTAGCCCCCCCCCCCCCGGTCTTAAATGTAGTATTCGGTAGAGGTTAAGAGCCTGGGCTTTTGGATTAGCTAGGCATGGATTAGAATCCTAGCTCTTGGGTGAGTTATTTCATCTCCCTGAACCTGTTTCCTCATCAATAAAATGGGTACTTAGAGTAATTAGTCACAATATAGGGATTAAATAAGATAATACATGCGACATACTTAGTAAACTTCGCGATACAGAAGCACTCTATAAATGTTAGATATTATTTTTTTTGTTACTTTATTATAATACAAGGATGGTACCTAGAGAAACACACATCTGGAGTTTAGGAAAAATAATATCTTTGACCCAGGAAGGCATTAAATTCTAGGGACTCCCAATAGCAGGGAGGCCCAATTGTATACCTTCCCCTGCGTCAGGCACAGACATGCAGTATCAGGATTCTGCATTTTGCCTATGGGAGGGTGAGGCGGTGGCTGCAGACTACAATGTCAGGGTCCAAGGATTCTCCTGGGCGGGGACCTTGGACCTAGGAAGCCTGGGATCTTTCCCTTCATCCTTCTGACTTTTCCCCTGAAAGTTGAGCTGCCCCAGTTGCTGAAAGGCAACAAACCTGCAGGATCCTAGGACCTTAACGACCTAAACAAGTCCGGGTTTGTCCTCTGCTCCATCCCAACCCTGAGTCTATAACCTGGGCTAGTCCAGGCGCCTGCTAGGGTTGGGAGGGTGGGGTCAGCTGCCAGCCGCCAGCTACTTGTGACTCACCCTTCCCTTCCCTCCTCTGGTTTCCCTGCCTGCCTCTTCCAACTTGGGGTGAGAGAGTTAGTTGACTTAGAGGCAGAGAATCATAGGACGTCCTCAGAGCTGGGAGGAAATCGAGGCCCAGCAAGAGCGTTACCTTCTCAGGGTTACACGCAGACTCTGCCCGGCTTGTCCTTGGTCCATGTCATTAAATCTTAGTCCCTCTGGTTTCCTGGATCTTATTTTAAACATTCCCTACTACAATGGCTGGTCACCGAAAGATAAATGTGATGTCCAAAGCCAGCGCTAACATTTACAGTTTCCCTTTCCCCTTCGACACTCATTGCTCACATTCCACGTCCCATACGTTTACCATTACTCAAGAGCCAGCTATGCCCCCACACCATGTAGACTGACCCAGCAAGGAGCCCCAAGGGCAGGCGCTGGTCCTTGAGGGCCCAGGACGGAGCACCTGGACTTCCTAACCCCTTAAGTACACCAGACCCTGCACCCTCCTCTTTCTTAGGCTGGAGGGAGGCTCTGCTCTCCCTTGCTCAGCGCTGTCGCTAAGTCAGTGGCCCTTGAGAGGGAAACATTTGGCTTGGCTTGAAGCCTCAAAATTCGTTAAACCTTCAGGAACCTCACAGATGGCAGTGGTGTTTGATTAGATGGTGAGTGGGGGTGGGGGTGGAGGGGTGTCATTGTGGAGTACAGGAGGAAGTTCTGATGTTGGCATAGCTGGGGGATGTGGGCTCATGCGTTCTGAGGGTGAGGAGATGCCCAATAATAATTGCGATTCTCCTTCGGGAAAGCTCCTTCCCTCCACTTAAGGTGAAAAACGGGACTCGGACGCAGGTGGCTTCAGAACCCCGGGGACAGGTGTGGAAAAGGCACGGGGGGCGGCGAGTTGGGGACCAGGAGGCCAGAACAAGAAGCCTGCTCCACCGTGCAGGCAGCGCTGTCGAGGGTCCAAAATGGACTTGCCTCGCCCTCGGGTCTCTGGGAGCAAAGCTTCCCCTCCATCCCTCCGAGACGGCGAGGGATGGAGGGGACGATCGGGGCGGACCGCTGCCTCCCGGGCTCCAGCCGAGCCCTCCCGCTGCCCCCGCGCCCCGGCGCGAACCCTGCGGGCTACCCGCTCCAGCTGTCACGCTTCCTCCTCCGCCGCCGCCCAGCAGCCCTACCCCAGCCCGGGGCCGTCCCCACGCGCCCCCGCCCTCCGGCGCCGGGGCGGGCGGGCGCGGGGGCTCCGGGGTCTGTACCTGCCTGCGGGGGGCGCGCGGTCCGAGCTGCAGCGGCGCGGGCGCGGGCGCGGGCGCGGGCGCGGGAGCCGGAGCCGGAGCCGGAGCCGGAGCCGGAGCCGGGATGGAGGGGACGGACCAGGCAGACACGGCCGCCGCGGGGCCGCCCCTCTCCTGACGACACAGCTGCCCGCCCCTCACCCCCGCCGGCCCGCCCGCGCCCGCGCCCGGGGCCCGCGGCTCGGGGATGCCAGGCTGGAGAGGCCCGCGTTGCAGCCCGCCAGACCTCATTCCCCTCTCCCGGGATCTCCAGCGCCCTGCCCGCGCCGCCCCTCCACATCCTGCCCGCGCGGCTCCTCTGCTTCCCGCCGGGCCGCTCCGTGTCTGCTGCCCCCTCATTCCAGGCTCTCACAGCCTCTCCCGCATTCCTCCCGGGGACCAGCTCGGGGGCGGGGCGCCGGCGGCACAGGCTGACAGCTGCCCCCCAGTCCACGTCTCTCCCTCTGTAAGGGCTGCTATCCGAACCCCCCTTCCCAACTCCGGTTCATCCACTATTGACTACACTCATACCCAAGAGATCTCACAGCAGCGAGGCCGGCCGAGTTCCAGACTCCACACCCTGAGACCCACATACCCCGCCCCCTACACACACACACACACACACACACACACACACACACCACCACCACCACCATCACCACCACCACCAACCACCACCACCACCACCATGGGCTCCACACTCCTTGACTCGAGAAAACCTGTCCCCTTTACCTCCAGGTTCCTCACCCCAGGAAAGCCCAGGCGTCTCACACTTGTTTTCCCAAGTCTAAGGACACTTCCTTCTCTCAAAACTGATGGCTCCCTTGATCCTTGGGTGGAGGATTAGGTGCAAAGAGCAGTCTGGTCTGTTCCACCCTTTCTTTATGCCCCAACCCTCCCACTGTACCTGCTGGTCTTGGCAGGCGGTATAGGAGGCCTTGGCCAAGAGGAGGGGTGAGAGAGACCTTTTCAGCTTCTTCTTTCTGGAGTCTGCTCTGGAGTGAAGGTTCCGGGGGCAGCACCGTAGCAAGGGAGAGAGACAGAGGCCTGGGGACTTACTGGTAGGAACTGGGGACCCTGGCATCCTGCTTCCTGGCCCCGCCCCGTCTCTCCCCTTCACACACACACACATACACACACACACACCACCCCTCCTCTTACCCTTCATTGAAATAGGGCACAATCACAAAGGCTTGAGTTCCTGGAATCTCCTTCCCTTTTACACCGGGTGGAAGAAGAAGGGAGGGGAGAGCCCTGGCTGGGAGGGTGCACGTATGTTCTGTAAATGCTGTGTGTGTGTACACACATAAACACACACATAATATATACATACTTCTACAGACGTCGGTGGGGGTTGAGGAGGAGGCATGAGTACATGAGGACCTCTAGTGGAAACAGAGGGGTGCAAGCAGTTCTTGATTGTTTTAAGACAAGACAAGCTTGTTGCAAGAGACTCCTCCATTTTTATCTGAAATATAGCTGCCGAGTAATGGGTTTGGGAGTGTTGTTGCATCTGAATTAGAGATCTGAGGTAGGGGTTAGAGAGGGTCTGTCTCTCTTCTCCTGTGTTCCCTCCGATCTTAAAAAGACACAGCCCTGCCACTCATCTTTCATCTCTCCTTCTTATAGGGCCTGTTTAGTCATTAGGAATCATAAGTGCTATGATTCAAAGGCCTATTTTGCACCAGGGCCTGTACTTAGTTCTGCAAGACAGCCAAATACATAGCCTAGTTTAGGGATACACCATAGAGTGGCTTGGTGTGTGCGAGTGTGTGTATGTGTAAAGTGCCTCCCCACTCTAACCCACCCTAAGCAAGCATACAGTATCAGTTAAGAACAAGTCCCCTAGAAACCTCTTCCAATCAGTTTTCTGCCCATGAACCTCCTGGAATGCCCTTAGCTGGTTTGGCTAGTGGATAGAGCACTGGCCTGCGGACTGAAGGGTCCTGGGTTTGATTCCCCAGTCAAGGGTCAAAGGCATGTGCCCGAGTTTCAGGCTTGATCCCCAGTAGGGGGCATGCAGGAGGCAGCTGATCAATCGATCAATGATTCTCAGCATTGATGTTCTATCTCTCTCTCTGAAATCAATAAAAACATATTTTTTAAAAAGTAGAAATACTGGAATGATACTACTCCTTAAAGCACTCAGCTTTCCTTGCAAATAAAACTTCCAGCCGAAACCGGTTTGGCTCAGTGGACTGCAAACTGAAAGGTCCCAGGTTCGATACCGGTTAAGGGCATGTACCTTTGTTGCGGGCACACCGGTGGGGGTGTGTGCAGGAGGCAGCTGGTTGATGTTTCTCTCCCATCGATGTTTCTAAATCTCTATCCCTCTCCCTTCCTCTCTGTAAAAAAAAAACAATAAAATATATTTAAAACACACACACACACACACACCCTTCCAGTGATACACCCTATGCATGATCTGAGTTTCTCATTCCATCATCATCATCAGTGATGTCCCTACATGAAGCTAAAGAGTCCCCTTTTATGACATTACTTGAGACTTGAAGTGAAGCAGGAGGTGCTTTCTCTAGTGAGGAATGAGATGGAACCCGCCTCGGCTTCTCTGTGTCTTCTTGTAGGAAGTGTGTCATACCCCCAAGTCAGTTACTGGCTGGGGTACCATGAAGAAAGGCCAAGTAGCATCTAAGGAGGAAGCGTCTAATGACTGTAGTTCCAGGTGCTCATTTCTTTAATCAACCACATCATAAAAATCAGAAAGAAAGAAACCGCAATGAACAAAGGGAAAGGAAAAAACAGCCTTGTTCTCCTCAGCCTTCTTTCCCCCCTTCCTCCTCAGGTTGGGGGGCCACATCCGGGGCTCAGGCAGGTCTGCTAGGCAGACACCGAGTTTCACTTCCTGTCAACCTCAGAGCTGAGGCAGGATGTCTGGGGGCATGATGAGGGGGAGCCAAGGGCTGGGCAGTCAACAGGGGCCCCTTCAGGATTCCCTCCTGCAGAACTTCCGCAGAGCAGCTCGCCGGGCGGGAGCTTGCACGCCTCAGGCAGTGCAGTCCAGGCCGGGCGCCCTCGTACAGGCTCCTCCCATGAGTAACGAGACTCAGGACAGGACGCCAGGTCTGGCAGGAAAGAGCAGGGTTAGAAACGGCGGTGGGACAGCACTTGCAGTGACTGTGTATTGAATGCAAATAAGTTTTCACAGTCTTGTGGAGACCTTCTGAGTTGGGCTTCTGCTGAGAGTCAGAGAGGTGGAGTACAGGAAGGCAAGCTGTTACCCCCAAAACGTTTGAAGCTTCATTTCAAAGCCTTAGGTTGTTCCTAGTTAGCCATTGCTCTCATTTTTTTGTTTTTGTTTGTTTGTTTGTAACGGGGCAGGCAACTTGGTGTTGGAGGTGGTCACTGCCATTCGCCTTCTCCCTCCGGGTTTCAGCGCTCCTGTAGGGGGTGAACAGGAGCCGGTGCAGGGGCTTGGGGAAAGGTAACACAGGGCAGATGAGGAAAAAAACAGCATGGGGTTGGGGGAGGGCAGAAGGGACACCTGAGGAGAGGAACCTCCCAGGCTGGAGGGGAAACGAGTTTAGCAGGATTTCGCCCTGAAGGAACAAGAGCTGCAGAGAAGAGCAGGGGAGGGAGAGCATGGGGCTCCCCTAGAGAATAGGGAGGTCGGGGCAGGGCGGGGCTGCGGAAGGTGTGACCGCAGGGACCGGAGTGTCGGCGAGGGGGGCCGCTCTCTCTCGATCCCGTCGCCCGGGGACTGGGACGAGGTTAATGAGAACGCGAACTGGACCCGCCCCGCCGCCTCCACCCCGCCCTCTGACCCCGGGCCCTGCCCCAGCCGGCTGCCGGGGTCGAAGGTCAGAGTGAACTCGGTCACTTCGCCTCCTGGATCCGCGGGGCCGCCCGAGGTCGCCGAGACAGACCCGCCGCCGCGCCCTCCGCCTCGCCTCGCCTCGGGGCCTCTGCCCGGCGGGTGGCGCTGGGCGGCTGAGAGCAATCGGCGCGCGGTTTCGGCTGCCCATCTCCCAAGAGGATGGGGGTCTTCCATTCGCCCCAACACCACTAGTGCGCCCGCCCAGTGCATTCCCGGAGTTTGCCCGCCCGGCTCCATGTCCCCAAGCCGTTCTGGGACTTGGGCGCAGATCAGGGCCTGAATATTGTTTCCCTCACTGATCAGCCCCCCTTTCCGGGTGCAGATGGGCCTTGCCCCCTCTTCCCTCGCAGGTCCTGGACGGACTGAGTGCCTGTGAGGAGAGGCCTGTGCCTCCGCATTCTTTCGGCGCCCAGAGGACTGCTTCCCACGCAGCAGGCGCTCGATAATGGTATCCGCGACGGTGAAAGAGCCCATTGTTTTTATTTTACTAACGTCTTCAGCTTCTACTCCCTTCCTCCTCCATCTTCGCCCGTGAAATTGTGTACTCTCCCTTTAAGACGAAAATGGTGGCATGCTACGATCGGGACTCCACTTCCGGTGGGGAGGGGGGCGGGACCCCAGCCCGCTCACGCCGGAAGTGGTTTGCGCTCTCAAGATGGCGACTCCCTATGTAACTGACGAGACCGGCGGTGAGTGCGGGAGGCGCGGAGCCGTTTCTCTCCGGGCTCTCGGGGCAGGGGTTCGGACTTGGAAAAGGGTCTGTGCCCCGCCCATCCCGGGGCCCCTCCTTTGCCCCGCCCTTCGGACCGCCTTCCCCATTCATTCCTACGGGGTGCCACCTGCGCCCCCTTCTGGTCTCGAGTTTAGGGGTCTCTGCTTCCGGTCACCCAAACCTTGGGGTCCTTCAATGCTGGCCCCTACTCCAGGGCCCTCCGGGGCCTTTAAGGTTCTCTCTAGCAGCTAAAGCTCCAGTATCTCTCTTTTGGGTTCTCCAGCCGTAGGGGTTGCAAGACCCTTAGTTCCCTCCAATTCCTACCTTCCCTTTCTTCCCCTCCCCCATCTTTTAGCTATACCTGCTTTCTGCCCGACCCCAACCACATTTAAATTCTTTTTTCGGAAGCTGTATCTGTAGGTCTTCTCATTGCTACCTAGTGCTTTTCCCACTTTCCCCCTCGTCTTTATTGTTGGTCCAGAAGTGTGAAGGGAGGAGGATCCTAATATAACTTTCAGCATGAGTTTTCTCCTCGATGGCCCCACCTTTCTCTACCTTCTCTGTTGATAGTGATAGGAGTTGAGGGATCTAAGGTGGAAGAAGGCAAACGAGGAATGTGACTAGAGAATTTTCGGTCTTGCTGATTGAAATGCTGAAGTGTGTGCTGCATATGTGAACTTTATGTGTTAAAAACTGAAAATCAAGATTTTTATTGTGATTTTGTCCCATCCTAATTGCCTCATCTTTAGAAAAATGTGCATAGGAATATCTAGTCATTGACAATCAAATAAGATAGTATATATGAAAGCAATTTATAACATGCTGTGCAAGACAAGGTGCTACTGTTTTCTTTTTTGGTGCAGCCTTCACTGTGTATATATAGTCTTCTGTAGAAGAGATGCTATGCCTGTGCTGTGGTACATATGGTCTGTTTTCAAATGTGCTACATATGCTTCTTGCTTTGCATGTTCTTTATATCCCACCCCACTTCTCCTATGATATCTAATGACAACCCTGGTCTCTGCTTCCTCTCCCTAACCTCACATTTTAAAGCGGTAGAGGTACAACCTTTCTGCTCTCTACTCAGTAGGCTCTTCTTCAACTAGCTTTAAAAAATATATATTTTTTAATTGATTTTTTACAGAGAGGAAGAGAGAGATAAAGAGTTAGAAACATCAATGAGAGAGAATCATCAATCAGCTGCCTCTTGCACACACACACACACACACACACACACACACACACCCCGGGGGATGTGCCCACAGCTAAGGTATATGCTCTTGACCAGAATCGAACCTGGGACCTTTCAGTCCGCAGACTCTATCCACTGAGCCAAACCGGTTTCAGCATCAACTAGCTTCTTTTAATGTGTGATTTGAAAATATTACTTAATTTCCAATTTCCAGTACACTTCTTTATTCTTAACTGTTTTTTGTTTTGTTTTTTGTTATTGTTGTTACTGTTTTTTATTGACTTTAGAGAAAGAGGGAGAGAGAAAAAGATAGAGGAAGAAACATTGATGTAAGAGAGAAACATCAGTCGGCTGCCTTCCTTCCTTTCTCACCCACCCTGACTGGAATAGAGCCCACAACCTGGGCATGTGCCCTGACCCGGAATCAAACTAGTGACCTCTCGGTGAGTGGGAGGATGCTCAACCAACTGAGCCACACCTGCCAAGGCTTACCTGTTTTCTTAAACTGATTTAATGAAAATCCAGATATTGCATCTTACCCTACCTTCCCACCAGGTATTTTCTTTGGATCTTTATGACTATGTGGAAGAGGAGAAGGAATTATTGCTTTTTTGCTTTCTCTTACTACTTCCAGATCATTGATCTACTACTGTCACGCTAATACTCATGGAAGATATCGCCATTCAATTACAGCTTTTTCTCTAAAACTTCATGGCCATCATTCCTTTTTTCTCCACTGTTTCTTGCTTTCATTCTCAGTATCTCCAGCACCTTTGAATACTTTGATCTTATAGTTCTTCAGCATGAGACAATTAACTTTCCTTTGTATTTTCCAACCAGCTACACATCAGAGTCACTACAACTTGGACCTTACCTATGATACTGCTTCCCCTTCATGTGCTCCCATCACTTATTTTTACCTCCTTCCTAGTCATTTTTTTCATCCTGTCACACCCACAGAAGCAGTGTTTTGCCCTCCTTAGGTTCTCTTTTTCTTGACCTTTTCCATTTCATTGAGTCTTATCACTAGCTTCATGACTATCATTGATGCTACCCTTGCTAGACCTCTGTGATCAGCCTCTTTGGTACTATCTTCATTGCTTCCTTCATTTGTTTTGATCTTCTATACTAAGCAAGCATGTAGCGTTATTTTGAGTCATACTCACCAACTGTTTTCTTGGCTTCTGCTTCCAGGTCACAGCATATAGCTAGAGAAAAAACACAGAAGCTAGCAGATCCAGTATAATATAACTTAATGTTAACTTCTGCCAAAATCACAGTTTCTCTCCAATTCTTCTTTCTTGGTTTGCTTACAGTCTGCCATGGCCATTTCCCCAACCTTTTCTGGCTCTCTCTAACCTTTCCATTTATTTATTTATTTATTTAAATTTTTCAAATACTTTTTTATTGATTTCAGAGAGAAAGGGAGAGGGAGAGGGAGAGAAACATAAAGGATGAGAGAGAATCATTGATCACTGCCTCCTGCATCCCCCGCACTGGGGATCAAGCCTGCAACCCAAGCATGTGCCCTTGACTAGGATCAAACCCAGACCCTTCAGTCCGCAAGCCAACGCTCTATGCACTGAGCCAAACTGGCGAGTGCTATAACCTTTCTTTTTATTTTTAAAATGTGCATTTTTTATTGATTTTTGTTTTTACAGAGAGGAAGGGAGAGGGATAGAGAGTTAGAAATATAGATGAGAGAAACATCGATCAGCTGCCTCCTGCACATCCCACATGGGAAATGTGCCCACAACCAAGGTACATGCCCTTGACCGAAATCGAACCTGGGACCTTTCAGACTGTAGGTCGATGCTCCATCCACTGAGCCAAACCGGCCAGGGCATAACCTTTCCTTTTAATTCTCCCTCTTGTGGCAGATGACCTCGCTTTCTACTTCATTGAAAAATCAAGGTCTATCATTTCTGTTTCTTTCTGTCCACAGTTTGATTTCTTGAATGTCAGTTCTATGCATACTATTTCCATTTCCTCACTGCTTATTTGTTCCTTAACTCCTTACAGTTTTTATTTTTAGCACCTACCTTTCTCCTGAGTTGCCAATTTCCTTTTATAATTGTTTGGTAAATAGCTTTCATTCAAGGGTATACTGTCATATAATACTTCAAATACAATCTGACCAAAATCAATATCAATTCTTTTTCCTTATTTCTGTTAAAGGCACCATTGTATTAGCCAACCAGAGATCAATTTCTTTTTTTGCATTCTCTCCCTCTTTCTATCTCTCTCCTTAAAATTTTATTTTTTTCTTAAAATTTTAAATAGACTTTATTTTTTAGAATATTTTTAGAGAAAACAATTTTCTAAAATTTTTACTTATTGATTTTACTTATTGATTTTACTTATTGAACATTGACTTGCTGTTCCACTTATACATGCACTCACTGGCTGCCCCTTGCATGTGCCCTGACCAGGAATCAAACCTGAAACCCTGGTGCCTTGGGCCAATGCTCCAACCAACTACCTAACCAGGGCCTAGTCTTACAGAAAATTTGAGAAGATGATATAGACAATTTCTATATATACCTTACATTCAGTTTCCCCTATTGTTAACATCTTACATTAATATGGTACCATTATTGCAATTAATGAACCAATATTGATACATTTAATTAGTTATTATTAATTAAAGCCCATATATTATTCAGATTTTTTTTTTTAAGATTTCCTTACTTTTTACCTAATTTCTTTTTTCTGTTCCAGGATATCATCCAGGATACTATATAACATTTAGTTCTAATGTCAGCTTAAGCTCCTATTGACTGTAACAGTTTCTTAAACTTACCTTGTTTTTGATAATTTTGACATTTTTAGGAGCACTGACCAGATATTTTATAAGATACCCCTGTATTGCAATTTGTCTGATGTTTTTCTCATGATTAGATTGAAGTTATGTGTTTGGGGGGGTGGACTATCGAGGTAAAGTGACATTTTCATCATATCATGTCAAGGGTAAATACTATCACAATGATTTTTTTTACTGTTGATATTGACCGTGACCACCTGGCTAAGGTTCTGTTTGTAAGGTTTCTCCATTGTAAAAGTGACTCTTTTTCCTTGTCTTTTCATACTGTATTCATTAGAAGAAAGTCACTGTTCATACTTTTTTCCCATTTAAAAAAAAATTTCAGTGACAGTTAACATTCAATATTATAGTAGTTTCAGGTGTAGAGCATAGTGGTTAGACATTTTTATAACTTATATACCATGATTCCCCAATAATTCTTGTACCTACTTGACACCATATATAGTTATTACAATGTTATTGACTATATTTCCTAAGCTGTACTCTACATCCCATGACTATTGTGTAACTGTCAATTTGTTCTTCCTAAGCCCTTCACCTTTTTACCCAGCCCTCTCAACTTCCCTTTCATTTGGCAACTATTAGTTTGTTCTTTGTATCTATGAATTTGTTTCTGTTTTGTTGTTCATTTTGTATCTTATATGATTCCACATATAAATGAAATCACGGTATTTGTCTTTCTCTGGTTTATTTCACTTAGAATAATACCCTCTAGGTCCATTCATGTTGTCATAAATGGTAAAATTTTATTTTTTATGGCCAAGTAATATTCCATTGTATATGTGTACCACATCTACTTTATTCATTCCTTTTGTTTGTTTGTTTTTTGTTAATTTTCATCCAAGGATATTTTTTTCTATTCATTTTTAGAGAGAATGGAAGGTGGGGGGAGAGATAGAGATAGAGATAGAGAGAGAGAGAAAGAGAGAGAGAGATGTGAGAGAGACACATTGATTGGTTG